ACATGCTCTTGTAAAAAGTCCTTCTCCATTTTTCTTGTACAGTCCTTTCAGGTACTGGAAGGCTGCAAACAGCAAAAAGCCTTCTCTTTTCCAGGCTAAACAAACCAAATTCCCTCACCTTTCCTTGTGCGAGAGGTGCTCCATCCCTCTGATCATCTTGCTGGCCTCCCCTGGGCTCACTCCAACAGGTTCATGTCTTTCCTGTGCTGGGGATCCCAGAGCTGGATGCAGCATTCCAGGTGGGTCTCAGCAGAGCAGAGCTGAGGGGCAGAATCCCCTCTCCTGACCTGTTGGCTTTGCATCAATCTGCTGCACTTGCATAATATTTTAAATTTTGAAAGAGAAAATAAAAGGGAAGATAAACTTGCTCTAATTCACTGCTAAAAAACATTTTTTCAGCTTTCTCTCAGCTGAACAAATTTTATGGGAAACACCAAGAACAGCAGCATTTTAGGCTGAAAACCAAAATAAAGGTTAAAACCTAGGAGTAGGGGGAAGGGGGAAGCTGTAATATTAGAAGCTGAAATATTAGAGGAAATACCCAACATAAAAAATGAACATAGACTAATCCTGAATGCAGCAGACCACTGAATACCTAATACTACCTGTGCTTGTAAAGTTGGAGGTGTCAGGGAATACTCCTAGGCCTGGCACTCATCTTCCAACAGGAGATAATTCTATAAGAATTCTATTAGAATAATCTTTTTTGGCTCATGAGAAATATTGCTCTCCCAGTAATCTCTGTGGTTCAGGAATTAGAGCTAGGAGCTACTTTTAACAGGCATTTCTGATGCAGGTTCTGTTTCAGATGGATGACAGTCATCCCATGATAGTCATCCTTGTTGCTAAAAATGGATTCAGCACCTAGGATGGACCTGGGCTTCACCTGGCCCCAGAGAATCCACATGCTAAGAAAGGTACAGAAGAGTAACACAGTGTTATTGTGTCTAAGGAGAATTGTTCAAAATCACCCCCTCTTTTCCTTCCTCCTCTGCCAAACTTTTGCCTCTGCATTTCTTCCACACAGAAAGCTCCACTGGTCCAGGCAAAGCGAGGGGCTAGGAAGAGGACCACCTTCATAAAGTTGCTCAGGTCCCACAAGCAAGTGGAAAAAATAGGAAGCTCAGTGAAAATAGCAAATAAGTATTGAAATGTTTCAGGTGTGGGGTGGCTTTGTTAAATTGCTAGGGCTGAAAAGAAATGTCATTTACATTCAAAAGAGCACTGGAGTTTATCCTGATGTTACACTCATGATGTGTCATCTCCACATGGGCACCAAAAGTGGCACAACACTGAAATAAAAATCCAGGTGACTCAGAAGCATCAAACTACAAGCATTCCCTCCCTCCCTCAAACTGCTAGAAAAGCTCTCAGCAGCTCTGCTCCTCCATTCAGTCAGCTGGCTAGTGTCAACATGTTGTAATACCTGGATACAAGTACTTTCATGCAGCTCTCTTAATATAAAATTGTGTCAACAAACATCTAAAACCATAGGTAACAACTTCCAAAAGAGCTCAGATGCTCAGGAACAGCCCACCTAGAGTGCGGCCCATGCTAACAAAGAAGGGTTGGTTGAGGCTGGCAGGAGAATACACAGAGGATTTCAAGGGCTGTTGGTTTCCATGGCTGTAGCACTCATTACCAATAGATCTGAGCGAGTGTATCATTACATTGCCAGTGTGACAGCAGGCAAAACAGGATCTCAGCCAGAATCTAAGCACCTGATGCATTTCAGAAAAAAGTACTTGCTAATTGAAGAGGTTACTGCCCAAGTCCTTCATTCCTGCAATGTAGATAGTACAAAATATTCAGGCAAAATATTCCTTTAAAAAGGCTATTATAACCAAATATCCCTTCCTTTTAATGTAAAAGCTTGAAAAAAATCCACAAAATAAGAAGCAGGGGCAAAGGCATTGTGATTACTGAATGAAAACTCATTTTCTAAAACAAGGTCTTTTATGCAGCTCCAAAGACACAACTAAGAATCAGAGACTATCAAGTGCTAAGGGAAAAAATGTGCCATTTCCCCAAATTTTTCAGAATATTTAGTAAGTAATAGGGTCTGTCATGTTTAAGTCCAACAGCAAAAATATGGGAAAGTTGTCTGAGATATAAAATCATCATCATGCAACCATAGCTTCTTTCAATCTGAACATCTTGTCTTGACAACAAAGAGATTCCTGCCATTGTGGAAATATAGTCAATTTGGTGAACTGCAAAAAAAAACACAACTAGATTTGGTGCTTAATATCCATAAAAATGAAGGCACTAAATTTTTTTGGTGGAGGGATAAGACTGAAACAATCCGAAAAAGAAAGACTTTATACTAGTAAAGACATGCAGGTAGTGTGAATGTTTTAAAACAGACACATGACTGAAAAAGGGTGCATGTATATCTATGTATAAAAGGCCTGGTTTTCAGGTGGAGATGCACAGGGAGAGATGTATTTTGTACCCTTTTCTCAACATCAATGTGAATACCTGTTTACAGTAGAAATGTAAAAGCTCTCTCCAGACTATGCTGCCTACAGGGAGGAATGTCAAAAAGCAAATACCACCTCAGTCTGGAAAGTGTGTTTAATTTCAGTTGTTATTTTACTTGATCTTTTACAGAGATACAAGGAATGGAAAGTGTTTTGCAAGTCAGCATGGTGATGTACTGATCACATAGTAGCTAGCTGCTCTCCTAGACTAATCAAACCACGAAATAAATACCACACACAGAAAAAGTATCCTCTTTGCTGTGGACTTTTCTTACCTCATTATCAGTGGGGACATTCAGGAAATTTCCATGTGAAAGGATGAGTCAGATCCAACACTTAAAAATTAAAAGGATTATGTGGGGAAACTCACCAGTTAAAATTTTCAAAGAAGTAAACCACAGGCAGCTATTTATCTGCCTCATGCTATAAATACTGTTTCTATCATTTAGAAACTATTTAACCAAAACTTTAGCTTTATCAAAAGTTTAGTCTACCTTAGGACCCAGCCTCACCCCCAAGCTGCCATTATGGTTGGAGTTAGGGTTTGGAGTGTCAAAAGGACTGCAACTGCAGGAACACTGTACCTGGGATAGACATGGCAAGAGAAGCATGGCACTGCTCCAACAGTCCTGCCTCCACATCCATTTTTAGAATTACAATAATTTTCCTGGGGTTTAAGTCAGTGTACTTAACATATAAATATACATTAAATCAACACAACACACACTAACAAGCTGCACAAATAAGTCTTCAGTATAGTGACATTTTAATGGCAAAGACTGTAAGTATGTATTTACACAGTGGTTTTATAATGCAAGCTCATGGTAATTGTCCTCTGCATATCACTTTCTTTTGGAAACAAAATCTTCCTTATACACCAAATTTAAAATTGTATGACTAATGGTACTACCCACATGATTAATATAGAGAAGGATATGCATAAACAGATACCCAAAACTTGCATATTGCAAACATTGCCTCAAGATTACGGTTTTGGGAAACCACCTACTGTGTCTAAAGGACACAGACTAACTGAAAACTGAAAGTAGAGTAGCGTAAGTAACTAAAAACTGAAAGTAGAGTAAGTCACTGGTTGCTTTACATGGTTGCTCACACGTTCATAATGCTGATGCATTTGGAGGATATAAATCATCCAAAATACAAGACAATTGGAAAAGTCATAAAGCTAAAGTGCTAGGATCTAGATAGAGCTGGAGTTGTTGCCATGTCTTAAAATGAATTCTGTGAAATATTGAACATATTGTAACTTGAAAACTTAGGTCTTTTCCCTCATTCTCTGGTCCATATCCACGAGTGGGAGAAAAGAGAGGTGAAAAGCCACAGGCGCTCAGCCCCTGATCCGCACACATGGAAAGGCAAGTGAGTTGCTCTATTTACCTTTATTTCATCCTGTGGAACTGTCACTCCTTGTGGAAAGCTACAAATCTCTACCTTTAAGTTAAATTACTCTGTTAGTCTGTGAGAACTTGGTTTGGTGAACAGACTTTATTTAGAAAAGCTTCCTGCGCAACCTTCACATAAAGATCTCATAAATACATCCGAGCATCAGCATTGGCAGCTCGCTATGAGCACGGGCAAGGATGAACTTGCACTTACTGGAAATTTCGAAATTATCTTTTTGAAATGCCGCTATCCTGAAAAATCTTCCTAGGACAAGAGCAGAGGAGATAAGCAACAGCATGAGACAAAGCTTTTCTCACTTCGCTTGAGCAATGAGTATACACCGCATGGGGCTCTGAGCAACCTGGTCTAGTGGAAGGTGTGTTCTGTCCTGGCAGAGGGGCTGGGACTAGATGATCTTTAAGGTCCCTTCCAACCCTCATCATTCTATGATTCTACGCAGTGAGCTATTCACCGCGGCGATCTGCGCTCGGCTCTGGCATCCTGCATCATTTTTCGAGCGCAGAACTCGGACGGAGCGGGATACCTCCTCCTGTCCAGCGCAGGGGCCGCTCCTTCTGACGGGATCGGGAAGGCTCCATGCCCGGCCCGAGGGCCGCGACCCGCCCGCCACAGCGCTCCCGCGGTGCCCGAGGGCGAAGCCCTGGCGCGGCTCTCCGGGACACGCCGGCACCGCGCTCCCCCGGCTCGCTCCTCCCATCCCGGCTGCTCCGCCTTCCCCGACCCGCGAGCCGTGGGACGCTTTTCCGTGAGGAAGTGGCTCGTCGGTGGGGTAGAAGGAGGAGAGAAGCGCTGGCCAGGAGAGCAGGCGGGGCAGGGAGTGCGGGGGGAGCGAGGGAGTGGGGCCAGAGGAGCGGCGCTCCAGGCGCCGCCGAGCCCGGCGCAGTGCGAGCATGAGCGGCGGGGATGGCGGCGGCGGGGGCCGGGCGGGCGCCCTCAGCTACGGCCTCCCCTCCATCCCCTCCAGCAAACTCCCGGACTTGCGTTTTATCAGCCGGGGCGCTTACGGGACCGTGTCCGCCGCCCGCCACGCCGACTGGAGGGTCCCGGTGGCCCTCAAATGCCTGCAGGGGCCGCTGCTAGACAGGTAACGGGGTGGGCAGGGGGCCGCCGGCCTGGGGCATCGCCGGGGCCAGGGTCGAGCCGAGCCGCCTTTCCCTGAGGCAGCGCCCAGAAAGGGGCGAGGTGTCGGTCCAGAATGCCGGAGAGAGTTTCTGAGGTCTGTGGGTTAGATGCTGGTGTTTCGGTAGGCAGCCTTGCTTTAATTCCACGGGGAGAAGGGATCTCACGAGGATGATTCAACTTGGGCCAAGAGAAAGCACGGACCGGCCCCGGAGCTTCCTCACTTTCGATTATTGTAAAGGTCTGGTTTCGGTCTCGGTCTCTGAGACAATAAGTTGTTTCTTTTGGAGTTTTTTCCCTTCTGCACTGTGCGCCTTGAGCCCTCCTCAAGGTGGGATTGACAGAGTTTGGCTTCTTGCTGGGTCTGTTGGTTGCTAACCATTTTGCTGAGGTATCCATAGGATATTAAAGTGCAGCGATTACTGTAGATTTGGTGTTTACATAGAGAGAGGCAAATCGGGATTATACTGTTCTATCCACTGGAGATTGCTTCTAGAAGAAACTTCTCTGAGACCACGCAAAATTATTGTTTTTCCCCAGATCTCATAGTACTGAGAGAAGCTGTTTTAAAATAATAGGCTTGTAGACCCCCCTGCAAAGCTGCTGTTTTCCATGCAGCACTTGGGTTCCCCATTTTCCAGGTACCCAAGTGGCAGCGTATTACAGGAGCTGTCACTCCATGCAAGGACACAGCGAGTTATACTTTTTCATTTGACATTGTCTTAGTCAATCCCCATAGTTACAATTTGTTAACAAATCAATGCAAATTTGCCTCTTCTTAGGCTGTCTGAAGCCTACCTGACTGTAAACCTGCCTCTGAGTCATATCTTGCTGTCTTCAAGCTTTTGCCTCAAGTTTCTTTGATGTAGTATTAGGCCTTTAGGTAGGACAGCTTCACCCAGAAAGGTTGCTAGTCTTGTGACTCAATATACTTGAATACAAGGCAAGTTGTTTTAAGCTCTTTCACCTCTTATTGCTCAGGTTTGTGTATACACAGGCTTTATCTCTGAAATCTTGCCAGAAGTGGAATCTCAGTTATGTTGTGTTTTCTGATAAGCTGTGGGAGGGAGGGAACTGACTGATGGGTGTTGTGGGGGATTTTTTGTTTTGAAATTTTTTTTTTTTAATGTCTGCTTAAATCCCAGCTGGAAATACAGCATTTATCCTCAGAACACAGCTAGGAGAAAACACCAAGGCTAATTTTAGCTTTTCAAGAATTTGGATTGGTGGGACATCTAACCTGTGAAATTACTATTACAAGGGCAAGTGAGGTAATCAGAATAATTCAGTCACTTACCATGATGCCTTAGGTTTTAGCTTTTATATTTCTCAGATTCTGTACTGCTTTAGGATGTAGTTCTGAGCTTCATATTAAGGAATAGTAAGCTCTCACTTCACAGAGAAGCTAGACAAAACAGTTCTTTTCCTAGCTTGGAACCAAGAACAACCACCCAAATTTCAGGCGCAACGGGGACTGAAGAGAGAAAAACAGAAAGGATCAGACTTCATAACCTAAAGCTATAAGTGGACAATTAACTCCAGTATGCTAATGGACCAGAACTTATAAAAGTGAGAGACCTCGTGACTGGTTGTCCATTTTGTGACCATTTTGGTTTCATCTTGGGTGTAGCCCTGGCTGGGCTCTTGTACTGCCCAAGATGTGTCCATTGAGGTCTTCTAATAAGTACCTGCTTTAACTCTGTCTAGCCTCTGGTCTAGGTCAGCCTTGATAAAGCATCACCATATGTCACACAAAGCCCAGAAATGCTGTCAGAAGACTGAAAGCTATAAAAAAAAAACCATTATACCCGAGTCTGAGCAGCAAGTGCTTTGTTGGCTGTGCAGTAGGCAATATGAAATGCCAGTCCGTAACTGTTGTCAGGAAAAGGGATGAGTTCATGATGCCATTAATTCCCCGAGTGGGAAGCATGTGCTGTGCATCCCAGAATATGGTATGTGACCAGCCAAAGAGCAAAGCCAGGTGGGAAGCTGTTGTGGGAATGTGCTCATTTCAGCATTACTCAGTGCCCTTTGGCACGGAGCAGACAAAGGTGAAGTGACTGACAGGCACAGGAATAGACCGCAGTATGGAGCAATTCATTTCCCAGCCACAGCTGAATCCCATGCTAATGTGCCTTACTGTCTTGGAAAACCCCAAACTTTCTCAGGCCTAGTCATTTCTGGAGAGAGGGAGGAAGGTGTAGGGTTGTCTCTTTGATCCCGTGCTTGTCTCAAAGGCTGCCTTTTTACTTCTGTCATTTCCTAGGGTTTCCTATAAGTCTTTTTCCATCACACAGATAAAGGAACCTTAATTTCATATCTGCTGCTAAGAGCTGCATGCTTTACTTCATAAGGCTTCCTCTTTTCCCCATATATCCTGACAGCCTTTTCTTCGTGAGTGCTAAACCCACCTTGATGGCTCCAGCCTGCCCTGGATGCTTTGGGGTGTGCCCTGAGCCAGCTCGCACCCTGGAGCTGTGCTGTGCACATAGCACAGTGCTCTGCTGAACAAATCGTGGTGGGCATAGCCCTAGCCCCAGCACAGCCCTGTTGCTTCTGGGTCAGACTGGCTCACATCCAAAGGATCAGTGTGCTCTAAATGTCTTGTATTTGAATATCCTAGTCATGTACTTGTACCTGTACCAGTCTCCACTAAGATCTAAATGGTTTTTTCACTGAATTATGCTTTATGGTCTAACTATCCTCATTGACAACAAACCCATTTTTTTCAAGGCTGTTTGACATATAAGGCATACCATATGGTTTCTATTTTCAGGGATGGAATCATACTCAATCTTAAATAAAACTTGACCCTCTCAAACCCACATGCTGCAAGGCCTAAATTTGTAATGATGCATCAAATCCACACTTATGAGGAGGTTTGAGATAACAGAGTGCATCCACACGGTCAAATTCAGGCATGCAAAGGCACCCATCATGAGGCTGGGCTATTCCTGCTTCCTGTGCATCTAGGGGATGTTTTTCCATAGAGCAATTCAAAGCAGGAACTGTTTGAGGGAATAATTTATGTGAAAACAAAGCATAGTTAGTTGTTCCTTTTCCTTCAGAAAGGAACTTACTTTCCTTCAGAAGTCAAAAGTGCATTCCTTTAGCTCCTGTTTGTTAGTGTGCATTAGAGTCGACTAGATTTAAATGGTTGGAGAATCATGTGTCTTAAAATCTCCACTCTCTAGGAGATAAATATTGGGCTTGAGTGAAAAGTTTGGTTTGAAGGTGTTCAGTAAAGTGGGAGAAATGCAGCTCGTTGTTACCATTAGGGTTCCAAGGAATGGTGGAAGCTGGAAGTTCTGACTTTATCCTTATTTATCGGAAACATGGATGAAATGTGTGATGGAAATAGATTTGTGTGGTACCACAAAACCAGGAAAGCTGTCTTGTCAGCATTTGCAGGTTCTGATTTGTCTTGCACTGTCTTGTTCTCAAAGCAGCATGGTAGAAATCCAGTGGTGAAGAGGTGGTGCATACAAGGAATTGACAGAGAATATAGTGACCCCAGCATTTTCTTGGAGTTTCATAGTACTGGTATGGTAATGCATTTTATTTGTTTGCTTGTTTTCTTTAAGCGATAGAAACCACCTTCTAAAAGAAGCAGAGATATTACACAAAGCCAGGTTTAGTTACATTCTGCCAATTTTGGGAATCTGCAACGAGCCAGAATTTCTGGGGATAGTAACAGAATACATGACCAATGGGTCATTAAACCAGCTATTGCATGGGGTAAGTGTACTTATGGTCTTTAATATGATACCTGGCTACTCCAAGTAGATTGCAATCTTCATACTTAATTAATATAGTAAAATATTTTATTTATAATATTTCATGCTAGAAGACCGTCAGTATCCCTAGTAGTTTTGGTGCTCAGATAGACCTTCTGTATCTCAAAACCACAACTCAACTTAGCTGACTTAATGTTGTGACATTTTTTCTTTAATGTTGTGACCTATAACGAGTTTTTATGTTGAATTATTACACACAGTTGAAAAATCTCATTTGTTCTCTAATTAAATTCTGAAATACTTATGCTTGTTTCAGTCTGGGTTTCTGAATTACTGCCAATACAAATATTGGGGTTTTTTTCCATGAGTTTGAATATTTAAAAAAAAAAGAAAAATTTTACTTTCAATTATAGAAGCTAAATATTGCTAATATAAACAAGTATGATTATTTCTACCAGACCTTATTCTTTGAGTAACTTTTCCTGTGCTGAACTCTCAGTTGCTCCCATTAGTTTGGCCTGCGCAGTGTTGCTACTGCAAAGCTACTGCAGTTGTGTGTCAACAGCACTAAAGTCTCTTCTCTACCTTTAATCAATCACATCTCATGCCTAGAGAGCTCAATTGTGGTTTTCATAAAGGCTTTAGTGTCAATATAACTTCTGAGACCTCAGCTGAGTTTTACTACATTTTTCTTGTTGTATTATTATTTGTAAAGGTAGCATTTTGTGCATAGTTTCAATGCAGTTTTTTTTGTTCCCCAGTGTCAGCTGCAGATATGATTTTTGTCATTCTTTGTGTAGGAGTCATAAATTGTGGGTTAAATGTTTGATGCAGAAGTTCATCTGTAATTCATATTTCCATAGGAATGAGTGGTGTAGTAAATGTTCAACATCATAAACTACTATGGGAATGGAAACATAGCACTGCATAATTATTATTTTTTTGAATAGGCTGATAGTGTTTCTTTAACAGCTAATGAGTCTTAATGGACCATTACAATTTGACCATTATAATTTTTTGAGGAGTTTGTATGTTTTAAAAGATTATTGTTTGCCCAAGTAATTTTCTCCTTCTTTTTATAAAAGAAGTCTTTGTGTGTGCTGTTAGAACAGAGGATTATATTCTGGTTTTGTGGTTTTATCTTGGCAGAAAGATGTATATCCTGACATTCCCTGGTGCCTGAGATTCCGCATTCTTTATGAAATTGCTTTGGGAGTGAACTATTTGCACAACATGAATCCTCCATTGCTGCACCATGACTTAAAAACACAGAACATTTTGCTGGATGATGAGTTTCATGTCAAGGTAGGGTTATTTAATTCTTACATTCTTCAGCATCCAGAATGAGTGAAAGTGTTTTCATTATTGTAGAGGAGGAAGGGTGAGGTTGTGGCCTTACAGAGAGGATGTAATTGAATGGTGGATTTTTATTTCTGTCCTCGCAGAGAGAACTTTGGAGTTTTTCTTTTGGAAGCTCTGTATTACTCAGTTGTGGATTTTATCTGTCTGAAAAGATCAGGAAGACAGAAGTTAGGCTGTTTCTGCTGTAGCAGTAGCTGATACTCAATAGTGGTGACACTCTTGTTTGTCAGCCTTCCAAGGCTAGCTGTATCTGGCCCTTCCTGAGAAGAAAACACAAAGTGTTCTTGCCTGAGATGCTCTGACAAGTTACTTCTGATAGGCAGTAGGTCAAGTTCAAATGTTAATGCTCCATTTGATACTTACCATGCAATATGGACATTTCTGTTCTGTAGGGGTAGTAATAGAACATGCAGAACAAAACTTTGAAATCTTACTATGTTTCAGGCTTTTGTGAAGCTCCTTAGAACAAGCAAACATACATGCAGAAATATCAGTAATTACAAACTTTAATTCTGCATGTAAAAATATCACTGCCATGATGTGAAAAAGGGACTGAAGGTACTTCTGAAAAAATGTTTAGGTGCTTCCATAATTGCAAGAGTTTTTGTTGTTTCTTGTTATTTTAAAAAGATCTGGTTTTATAACTGATAGAATATGTTACTCAAGTAAATAGAAATAAGATATTTTGCACTAAATTTATACTTGAAAAGTGAATGTTTTAGTTGCTACTGTAAGTTGACTCCCTTTATGGCTCCTTTGAGCAAAGATCCACTGCTGATTACTTTTTTCTCCATTGCACAGAAATTTTTCTTGGCAGCAAAGTGCCTCACATGGCTTTGTCTCTGCTCACACCCTCAGCTGGTCATACTTCCTCCCACTCAGTTGTGCTGGTATTGGCATCTCCCGAGCTTCCTGATAAACCTGATCAGGGAACTAGTCCAAGTCATTTTTTTATCCACTGTGTTTTTAATCCCTAACAGCTTTGGTGTGGCCTGGTGCTCTGCCTGATCATATCTGAAGTTTCTTTGCTGAGGCACTGGAAGGGAAGAGGTGAACTCTTGCATACCTGCCTGGCCTCCTGCAAGGAGTGTCCTTGGGGTTTTAAGTGAAGCAAGATTCTCTAAACTAGTATAGTGACAGGAAATGCAAACAAGGTTTATCATGCATGCCAAACAGAAGAGATACTGCATATGTATAAAAATCACAGCATTTACAGGGTGCTTCTGACTGTCTCTGATCTACTGAATGAGCAAGACTTAAGACCAATTACAATGAGGAAGGCTTGATGAGAATGAGTTGTAGAGAAGAAAGGTTACTTTTCATTGTGGATTTTGATGTATGCTCTTCAGAAAGCTTGTTTCTGTGGTCTTAATTTCCTTAGTGCTTGCACAGGCATCTTTGTTGAAAATGTTTTTGCTGTTGTGCAAATGCTGGACAAGTGCAGAACTGGTAGCTGGCTGCTTCTGTCCCATGTATGCCAGACACTGAAGCTCAGCCAGCAGGTGCATTCTGCTAAGTGTCTCTCTCCTTATCCATAACCTAATCAGGCATCTGGTTCCCTGGCTTATGGATGTCTGAGGATGTAAAGGGAAGTCAGTTACTTCTTCATGTAGATGAATTGTATTGTGTAGAAAGGAGCAAGGCTCCAGAGTGCGCAGTAAAGAAATTATTCAGCAACTTTTTGCAGCACAGAATTTCAGAGTATCAAATTTATTCATTCAGGATTAATACATCATGGTTTTGGGAGTGAGGTGAAGTGCCCTAAAATTGTTCTGTGAGAAGAACTGCCTTTGGATATTAGCAAGCTGAGTTATGTATAACTACTGTGGTTTATACTAAACTTGTGCTTTCTTCACAGCTAGAGAGCTACAAGTAATCAATGATTATTTTGTTTGCTTTTTTTAACAAGAAAGAAAGTGATTTTCTTCAAATGGCACAGCTGTCTACAGCAGATTTCTCATCCATAGTGTACATGAGTCCTTCCTTAAAAGAGCAGGTTAGGGCAGTGCTATAGGTATAGCATGAGTCACAACCTGGGAATGCTTTATGGACTGGAGTTGATGTTCCCTGTTGCTAGGAGAACCACATACTTTTTGTGTGTCAGGTTAAGAGCTTTGGGTGGCCCCTTTTTCTGGGTCTATTTCAGGAATTTCTAGCAACTGTCAGCAGATAAAACCGGTTTTTCTTCTCAGAACAATTGATTTGACCTTTGCAGATTGCAGATTTTGGCATGTCCAAATGGCGTGTCATATCCACGTCCCAGTCCCGAAGCGAGTCCTCCTTGCCGGAAGGAGGGACGATTGTCTACATGCCACCTGAGGATTACAACCCCAGTCTGAAAACCCGGGCAAGTGTGAAACATGACATCTACAGGTAACTCCTGTTGATCTCTAGTGGGGCTTGAAATCTGAGCTCAGATATGATTTACTGAACTTAGATTTTAGCATATTCTCAGCAATTCTATTATTTTCAATGATAATATCACAGCTATATAGGCTGAATGAATGGGGAAATGAGGAATTGAGTGATAGCTGAATTTGATGACTGTTGTGCTGTGACAAATGTAATGCTCCAAAACTAAGCTGAGACTACAGAAATAGGTGGGGGACTAGTTTCTGGAAATAAATGTACACATACAGTTCAGGGAAGGAAGGAAGCCATTCACACCATCAAGTCAATGCACATATGCTTATAATTTATATAATCAAATAACATAAGTTTCAGAAGGTACTTGGAGGAAAGAAGAAAATGTAGTTTTGGAAAGGAGGTATGAAAAAACAGGATAGTGGGGTTGGAGAAAGTAGTTACAATAATCTTGTTAAGGAATAATTTACTTTGTGAAAGTTGTGGTAGTTTTGTGTTGGCACTCCTGAATACAAGTAGTAGAATAGTAAATAGAGTGGTAGTGACCCATATAACAGAAGGAGATCTCTCTGAGGAATTTGAGTTACAATTGGCTGGTCTAAAATGGTTTGGAGAGCTCAGAGATTACTTGAAGTATTTTGGGAGCAATTATCATGTGTAAAGGAAGATTGAGAGGGCATGAACTTGCCAATCACTGTGAAAAAGTCATATTGTCACATAATTCTGGTGCAGTCTGCCACCTTTACCTTCACTGATCTCTGACATGGTTATATCTTGGTAAGAGATGACTCAGGCTCAGAGGGTCCTACTGACTTCCAAGGAAACCACGGTTTCCCTTAATTATCCCTTAACCCTAAGAAGCACATGAAGTTCCTTGACATCCCATCCAGATGACAACACACCTTCTTTCTTTACCCTCTGATGAGAAGATATGGATAAGGAAAACATTGAAAAGAAAAAAAGGTGTATTGAGAGGAAAGAAAGGGTGACTAACGGCTTTAATGAATGGGTGGAGAGGAAGAAGACAAATGTTTCTTAGAAAGAACATAATATTTTCAGAGGAATAACAACCAAATTGGAGAAAATATAAGAACACATCAGAAGGGCATAAAAACCAGATAAATTAGTAAGGAAAGAGATTATGTGAGAAGAGAGAAGAGAGACAGAGACAACATTGGAAAGAGAGGTGTTCAAGGCAGGAAGCCATGAAGGTGCAAGAGGGATGTTCAAGGCAGGAAGACATGAAGGTGCAGAGACAGTGAAGAACCACCAGAAACACCACACAGGAGGTTCCATGCTCACTATCAGCAGGAGATGCTACAAAGCAGAAATAAGAAAGGAAAACAGGAATAGTGTAAAAGGGAATGCTGCAGTGTTGTAGAACTGAGAAAATAATCTTCAACTGTAGAGAGATTCCAAACTGAATGAAAGATATTGTTAAATAGCTGGATATTTTCTGGATGTCAAATTATTGATCACAGCTGAGTGTTGCTGAGATACTAAAGATAATTTTTGCGGAGAGATCTTTCTTAAAGAAACAAGTTATTTAAACAACAATCAATCAGCTTAACTTCTACAGAAGGGATGATTTGCTATACCAGTTGCATGGATTTGCCAGGAATACATCAAAAGCAGACTTTTCTAACAGGGAAGACTGCTTTTATTAAAAGCTGCATTAGTAAATTTTATACCTGAAGAACGTTAAAATGTAAACAGGGTAAATAGGAAAAATCAGTTTATATGATTTGATTTTAGGCATCAGTTATTTGTTTTTACTTCATTTTTTTGAATTCTTACTTGGTAGCTGTTGAATGGTACAGTGCTTTAAGGTAATTAATGTAATTGTATACAAAATTTGGCACTTCTTAGTGTTGTAGGAAGGAATCTCAGTACATTCATACCAAGGGTGGGGAACAAGCTTTAGCAGCAGTTGATCATGGTGGTTATTTTCTGGAATGACACTGCCACAATGCTTATAAAGACTTGGACTGAAAACATGGAAATACACACTTGTCAGCACCTTGAGTGCATTCTGAAGTTATGGAAGCACTGAAGCTTTAGCCTGGATTGTCCTTTCTAAATCCAGAACCAGATACTTGAATACAGTGCTGTGATTAATACTGGGATCTTTTCATGGAATAGAGCTTCATTCAGATATGGTAGAGTCTGTAAGGAAAAGTTGCAGAGAAGGACTGAGAATTCAATGCTGCTTTTATATGAAATCTGCTAACCTTATTTAAATTACAAAGTTGTTTAAAGTTACCACTTTCTAATATATCCTGATGACTGAAGTGACTAGTTTACTAAAGATGGGGCAAGTTTGTGCTCACTGAACCCCTTGCCATTCCTGTTGGTGTGAATGGAAAAGAAGGTCACTGAGTAAGCTACATGTGTGTTCAACCTTGTGGCATTAGTTCAGAGTAGTCTTCCCAAGTGTCTTTTTTGGAAAGTGAATGCTGTGTGTAAGTGACATCTCTCCCTATGGAGAAGATTGCAGGGGATGAAAGCATATATGGGGAGGGAAGAAGCTGGAGTGGGCGTCCCAAGTGCAAGTTTGTATCTGTGAGGATGTGTAGGGATAGAGCTGTGGCTCAAAGCCATCCTCCCTGCTAATATCCAGCTTCCCTTGGGAATGTCAGGGAATGTCAGTCCATACTGGGAAGATGCCAGAATATTGCAGTTAGGACAGAGCAGTTGGTTCTCTGGGGCTCACTTTAATTTGTGTGCTGAGATTTAAACTCCATGTACATAATTCACAACATATTAGCAGAGCTAAGTTGATACAGATTTGGAATAGGAGTTTATATGCCATGGATTTTGTCTGGACCTAATAGTATTATTTAGTTCAAGATGAGTTCACCTGCTAGTTTTCATATATTCATGTCAACACTTTAGTTAGCTATAGTCAGTCCCATGCATGCTTACAGGATCATTTTACCAAAATATTTTAAATACATTGTAAAGCTGAGCATATTGTGTCAACTGTCTGTAGTCTAAAATAACATCTTCTGTACTTTGTATACTGTAAACAGCTATGCAGTTATCATATGGGAAGTGATGTCAAGGAAACAGCCATTTGAAGGTAAGACCATTGCTTCCTTTATTTTTCATGCCTTACCTAGTGGTTAAACATGAAACCTGGGGACTTAATTATAGGGGTTACTTTCTAATAATTCAGCTTTTAAGCTTATTGAAGAACACTTTGAAATACTTTTCAAATTAGACTATAGTTTTAGTATCTTTTTCAATTACAGTGTTGTTTCATAAATTAAGAATACCTTTTCTTTAATCAAGAAATGTAACCTTATGTTGATTATTTAAATTCTGTGTGTGCAAATGGAATTACTTCTCCTATACAGTAAGCTCTTTATATTGCATATATTTCTAATGACTTCACAATGTCTGTTTTGACAGAAGTTATAAACCCCTTGCAGATAATGTACAGCGTGTCACAAGGACAGCGACTAGACTTGAGTGAGGGAAGTCTATCAATGGACATTCCTCATCGAGGGCTGATCATAAGGCTGATGGAAAGTGGATGGGCACAAAACCCAGATGAAAGACCATCCTTCTTAAGTGAGTTTACCTTGCCAGGTTTCTGTTGAACATGGTGCTTATAGTGCAAGGCTATAGTCTTGAAAGGGAAGTGTTGAAGATGTCAGGAGATCTGTCTGCTTGGTCCTGCTGCTTATCATAAAGTGCTTGGCTGCTTCCTTCATGTTTGTAAACAAACTTTTACAAATGGAATTATGTGTGTGCCATAAAACCGGGTTGGCTGTTTGAGTCTTTTGTATTTACCATCTCTTAATTTACCTGTAAAAAAGCCACATGTTTTGTTTAACTACTTGTGTTTGGAGGTTTTTGTTTATTGTTGAAGATAATTTGGGTTTTTTTTAAGAGGGGATGGAAGAATTGAAGTATAAAATGAATACTGTGGGATTTATGAGCATCCAACCAGGACCAATGAACCACTGCACATCAGATTAGTTGTAGTGACTTCAGCTTGTATTTGCATCTCAGTGTAAATCTTTCACTGACACTTTAATTGTTGCATCTCCTTTATCAAGCAAGAACTGGATTTTTTTTCTAAGCAAGGAAATGTATCTTAATACAATATTTTCTAAAATAAAAAATAGACACATTGTGACATTTCCATATGCATTCTTGTTTTCCTATGCCAATTAACAAAAAAAAATAGTAATTTAAGTATGTGGTCACACTGAAGGGAAAATTATTTGGCCTATGTACTATAGTGTGGGCTAACTTGGATTCTCTTTTTAGTGTTATGTGTGTAGTAAGATGGTCTTTGTAAAAAAAAATGTGTTGCTTTTGCCACTACTTTACTATCATAAAAGGAAAGAAGAAGTTGCAAAACTATTGCAAAATTAGGGGAAGTGCAGCTCACTGATGGGGAACTTAAGCAATTACTGCAACATAGGAACACAGACACACTGAGGCCAGTGTCATTTGGTTTCACTGGGTGTGATAGATCAGTGCTTTGACTATCCCATCTTCTCTGGCCCTGCCTCATGCCTTAGGCATGTGTTCTGGATATTGCTGTGTTGGAGGTGTGTTTGTTTATTTTTCTGGTGTAAATCTTTAACACCCCTTCTGGAGTGAGAAGACAGCAGCCCACTCTGAGGTCTTATGGTGTTTGGGTCCTATTCAGCTAATCAGGTGTGATGGGGCTGCTTTAAAGCACAGCAAACCACCAATCTCTCCATTCCATGAGTGTGAGACTTGCATTATCCCAGTCCAGCATTATTCTGGATCTCTTGTGGTACACATTTCTTTTGGCGGTGTGAACTGTTCTAAGACAAGCAAGCAGCTTCTGTTTTAGCAGCATAAGTGGTTTGATATGTGCCATTAGAAAAATTACTTTTGTGAATGTAAGAAAGACACTTCAGTACAGTGACAACTTGATTTCTACTTCAAACCATTCACCAAGTACTCTTCCTTTGTCCAGAATGTTTAATAGACCTGGAGCCAGTTCTGCGAACATTTGATGAAATAGCTATGCTGGAAGCAGTACTTCTCTTAAAGAGATCAAAGGTAAGTGGCTTTTGTCACAGTCATGAGTTGGTCAAGTTAGTTGGTGACTTTCACTTTATAAAAGGAGTCTTATCTCCTTTGTCATTTCTTCTGCGTTTCCTTTTTCTAATCTTGTATCTCGTTGAAACATGCATTTGTGTGGGGTTGTTGTCTTACAGCAGAAATTTAATACAGGAAAATATTTCTCTTCCAGTCACTATATGAATCACAAAGTATTTACAAGAGTGGAAAGAAAGGAAATGTGGAGCAGATACCTCTAAATATACCTCTGAATCCTGAAAAGGTAAATACTTTACGTGTTGCATTTGGTATGTCAGCATCCTGAGAGGTTAAAGGAAGTTTAACATGGTAAGGGGAGCTGTTCTGCACTTTGCTTCCTGTACAGTCATGAAAGGCATAAAATGCATTACTTGAGCCAGGGTGTAACAAATGCAAAGCCATGTATGTGAAGATAGAAAAGGGTGAGTATGCAGAAATTAGAAGGGCATCTAAATATGGGAAAGCTCTAAATATGGCGTGGAGCTGTCCAGGGGAGGTTTAGGTTGGATACCTGAAAAAGGTTCTTCACCCAGAGGGCAAACAGGTACTGGAACTGGCTCCCTAGGGAATTGATCACAGCACCAAGCCCAGCAGAGTTTAAGTGCTTACACAATGCTCTTGGGCAAATGATTCTTGGGGTGCTCCACCAGTTGGACTTGATGATCCTTGTGGGTCTCTTCCCACTCTGCATATTCTGTGAGTCTGTGATCCCCTCAAAGAGGAATGCACACAATGCCTGCCAGTAGTGAGAGATTGTCTGCTACTCCCTTACACCTCTATGGAGCTTGCTTGTATAGGGTAATATAGATTTGTATTTATATTTTGATTCTTAATGCTGCTGCTTTTGGTTCTTAGTTAACCTTGTATACAAAATTGTTATCATATTTGAAAATATATAAGTATTGGGATTACATTCTTTCTCTTGATTTGCCATATCTTAATTGTGCTGTCTGTCGAGATAGCAGGGAAAACATGGTGATGGAAGAGTTCTCTGTAAAAACATTGCAACTTCATATTTGTTTAATGTGCCTGTTCAATATACACCTGGATTTCTTTCAGCCAACATATTCTAGCTCCATAGAGTGTGATCCTCTTCCCCTTCGGAGCATCCCTCCAGATACATCAAAATTCAAGTCTATTCCCCAGTGTAATATCCTCTCATCAGGTGAGATACTCTTGACTTTGTGTAAATTTAAGTTGCCACTGCAGCTTTACATTCACTCTGTGACATTGCATTTGTGTAGTAGAAAATTTGGTCTCTCTATGTCAGGAAAAAAATGTCTTTTGTAAACTTTGTGCTCTGGGTAAAAACTAGCCTTTTTAAGCTTTAATTTTCTGTTCCTATCACCTGAAAAGTCTTTAGAGCTCACAGGTTCAGTTTTCCTATTCAGAGTTGTGAAGGCAGAGCTAACATTTTCTTGTCTCTTCAGGCTCTTAGCAGTTTAGTTGATTTGTTTTGTTTGTTTGTTTGTTTTTGTTCTTGTTTGGTGTTCTTGTTTTGTTTTAACTACTTCTGAATATAAAAAAGGCTACATATTTTAAGGCATTCTAGAAGCTGAGTAAGCTCAAAGTTTCTAGTGCAAGTTTCTGGATAATTTTTAATTCAGTAAGTAAAAATGTCTTTAATAGACTGCTTTGCAAAAGTATCTGCACAGATCTTTTGTAGATGTCCCCTTTTATGAATAAAAGTTGGCAAAATTCCCTGAGAAAACTCAATTTTGATATCAGAAGCCAGAAGCATACAATAGAACCCAGGTAGAATAGCAACACATTGTGAAACTAAAACTGCATTTAAGTTTCTTCCCTTGACAGAATGTAAACATATTTCAAAAGAATAGAGTGTTCTCTGGCATTGCAGGGACCAGGAGTATGAAAGCTGGCAAGACTTTTGACTTCACTGCTAAAAAAATGGTCATCAAAAAGTATTCTGAGGTACTGCAAAACCAGAGATACTCTGGTAGAGGTAGGAGAGCACAGGCAGTTCCTCTTTCAGCTCCTGTTTGAACACATACACATTTTTCAACTTCTGCTCAGAGTACTAGAAAGGTATAAATACAGGAGGAACTTGGGTGAAAAAAATTACAGGAGCCTTAAGGACTTCCAGTTACTGGGGAAAATGGCAGAAAGCAAGTGCAGGGTCCTTTTGCTGTACCTCAACTGAAGCATTTATCTATACAGCATAAAAACCTCAAAGATGAAGAATAACTCATATTTACCTAGCTTAATAAGTGTGTTGTGATGAATTCTAGAACATGGAATATTAGTTTGAGCATGAGCATGGACTGTAAGGGTAGTTACATAAGATAATGATAAATGTCAGCCTTTCTTGCTGCTGGTTCTTGTTATGAATTGTTGTGTCTGCATGTGGAGGGAATCAATGAAAATTTATTGATTTATTGGTACAATTAATCTGATTGGTCAGCTGGTGGTTGTTTTATAGAATCATTGCTTAGACTTTATTGTGTTTATGTATAGATACTGTAAAGCTTGTAAAAATAGTGCCTACAAAACTCAACTGCAGAAGAGTTTGTTATTACTTTGCCAATAGCTGCAGCAGGTAGTGTTATAGTGGGAAGCAAGACTGACATTCATCTTGCTTTTCAAACTCACCTGCAATTGTTTTAGGTGAAAATTCTATTCCAGGTAGCTGTTAGCAAGAGAGGAGTTTGGCATGGCATAAAGGCAGAAGTTAATGACTACGGAGTCTAGCTGAGTTAATGACTATAGATTCTTGTTTTTTCCATCAATACATTTAGAATACTTTTTCAGAATATTGCTTCTTCAGAGTTAAGACTTGTCTTCTAGCCTTCAGCCTTTCTTTTCAATTTTACTTTTTTTTCCCCTTCCCTAGTGAGCTTTTCTTGGGTATTTCCTTAAACAGCTCTTTTCCCTCTTCCCATTTCATTTCTGATACAGAGTAATCCTTTAATATAGTTTGTTTTGCTAGATGAACAGGATGCACGCTTTTGAAATCCCTTTGTAAAATAAACTTCTTTATTCATGTAGTATCCTAACTAGTCCTCCTGGTGCATGTTCTGACTTAAGTGAATTAAGGCTATGTAGTATTATGAGAGACATGACAAACTTGTTTTGTCTACAAAATCCCTCTTACTTACTGTAGTTTAGAATTTTATTTTTCCTTTCTCACAAGATCCTTCATTACAGAATAATCTACTTAGGGGTTGTTTTTATTCCTCATCTCACTTCTGATCATTAGCCCCAACTTGAAACAGAAAGTCTATCTCTCATATTTTTCCTTCTTTTTCTATTTCTGTTACTCCATTCTTCTAGGTCACCTAGGTTCTTTTTGAGTAACTTGAGTCAATCTGGTTTTTTCTGAATAACATTTGACTAACTCCCAATAGCATTTTTTTGAGGGAGTTGTTTAGCATGGAGAAAAGGAGGCTCAGAGAGGAAATTTTGCTCCTTAGCTCTCTGCAACTCCTGAGAGAAGATTATGGCCTCTTAACTGACAAGCAACAGCAGCAAGCAGTAGGCTAAGAGGAAATGCCCTGAGTTGTGCCAGGGGAGGTTTAGACTGGATATTAGAAAAAAATTCTTCATGGAAAGAGTTGTCAAGCATTGGAACAGGCTGCCCAGGGAAGTGGTTGAGTCACCAGCCCTGGAGGTATTAAAGGATGTCTAGACATCCTTTTGGATGGCATTCAGGACATGGGGCAGTGGTGGACTTGGCAGTGCTGGACTTGATGATCTCAGGGTCTTCCCAATGGAAACAATTGTGTGATTTTATGATTGCATTTTCTTATGCTGTGTTCACTGGTCTCATTCTCTCATACCAGTACAAACCCTGTAGTTTTGTCTTTATGTTATGAAAATAAATTTGTGTGTCTAAAAATGTATAACATCCCAGCACAGCTGCTTGGAATTCTTTCCTGAAATGATCTTTCACTCACAGTGTTGTCTCCTAATCCCCTTTTTCATGCCGTAGATAATATCTGCTGCTTCACAGTGCATAGCTCTGCCCAACTTTCTACCTTGTTCATTAAATAAAATACTAGTTACGATGAGTTCTAGTCCATCATTTTAAAATACTGGGAATGGAGTTTCTTCCACATTTTCCTATTCCTGCTCTGTGTACTTACAGACATATTCTTCTACAGGTCAAGAAAGAGCTGGGAATACAACTTCAGATTTCCCCATTGGACAGGTAATCTCGAGTTGTCCATGGGGCTACCTCACTGTGTTTAGATGCTCATGTGAATTCTTGCATCTCTGGTTCTTAGTTAATGTCTTAGTTACTGTGTCTTTATCAAGTGACACTGTGAAAGTCTAATGAGAGCTATTTGCAGGGCTAGGCACATGTCCTGTAGTTCGTTTCTCACCAGCTCTTTGTTACCTGTTCCTTGTGTTATTTAACTGCTGCTTTCATATCTGTCACTATTTCTTCTATAAAAAAATTGTAAAGCTAGAAACTGTTCAACTTCCCCCCCAATATAAATACTTTTTACTTTTCTTTGGAAAAGTTTACATAAAGCTTTTGTGAAGTCATATCATGTTTTGTTGGACTACAGAAAGGTTCTATTGGCCTCCCACTGAATGTTACCTTCTCCCACTGCTCTTCAAGTCCTTTTCCCCAATCTGAATCTTTATTTTAATATTTTCATCTTTGTTACACTGCCAAACGTCTTCAAAATAAATTATTCTGCTTTCCTGCTGACTTTTAGTGACCTTTCCAAATGCTCAAAGGATTTATTTTATTCTTCTAGTCCCTACAAAGAGCTTTTTTGTTGAAGTTCACATCTACCAGATTTATACTCCCATATACTTCTATTTCTTTAAAATAAAGCAGGACCCCATACCATAGTCAGGCCTTGGTAAAATATGAGGAACATAAATGTATTCAGAATTTGAGTATAAGGACTAATCTGTTGTATATGATGTAAAAGTAGTTGGTTTATAACTTCTTCTGTGAAACTGCTCTAAATAGTCTCCGATGGGAGTATTTTATTTGTACACAGAAGTAATACAGCTTGTTCTTTTTCTTCTTTTTTTGTCTTTTTTTTGTCTTTTTTTTTTTTTTTTTTTTTTTTTTTTTTTTTTTTTTTTTTTTTTGTCTAAGATGGAAATTCTGGATGTCTACACTCTCTTAGCAGCCAGAGCACAGATGAAAATCTGTCTGTAACTCAGAGTGCCAAACTGCTTGTGCATCCATACAGTGCTGGTCTCTCACCTGCCAGGGGTATTTCAGATGCCCCAAGTTCTGCATCCCATGTGCTGCGGTCATCGCCGATTCCTCCAGGTACAGCAAACACTGTTTGACTCAACACCCACAATAAGTGTTCTGACATTGAATGTCTGTCTGTATGAAATGGAAACTGGAACTGTTACCCACGAGCTCATGAAAACAAAACATTGCAAATCAAGAGTGCAAAATTAAGTAATTCTGTCCTTGTAGACTTACATTACAAAGTAAGCAAAAACAGTGTAAAATGTGGCTAAGTACAGGTACCTGTACCTACTAGTTTTTTTTCTCTCCTCCTAATCAGATTCCTGCTGCCATCAGTCTTCTTTATCCCATTCCCTCTGCTCATAGTATTTCTATTTCCTACTGCAGTTGCAGTGCTGCAGTCCAGCAGAACAGGAGGAAAACTTAGCTCAAACTTAGTGACTTTGTTGCCTGTCACTTCTCACTTTTTAGGCTTTCCAGTCTTCCATTTAGCAATGGTGGGGTGGAGAGAAGCAGCAACTGTGTCAGCATCTTAGCTGTAATGATCCTCTGTGTTATTTGGGAGCCCACTACATTATATTTTTTTGTGTCAAATAACTGTTAAAAGTTAACACAAAATTTAACAAGAGGAAACTTCAATGAGTAATTTTTCAGGTATATTTTTTGAGGGGCCACACAATAACATGCAACTTTTTAAAGATCTGTTGCATCATCCCTCTCTTGAAAATATGAGAATCAACACCCTTTCACTGTGTGAAACCTCACCTTGAGAAAAATTCCAGGAAACCACAGGGATGTTTTCAGTAATCTGCAATAAAAATCCCCCTGGAAAGTGAATTTACCACCTGTCTCTTTTTAGTACCAGGTCGGGTTGAACACTGGAACAGGGTGCCCATGGAGGCTGCAGAAGTACCAGCACTTGGAGATGCTCAAAATTCAGCTGCACAAGGCCCTGAGCAACCTGAGTTATCCTTGAAGTTGGCCCAGCTTTGAGCAGGCCATTACATCAGATCACTTCCTTGAGGGTCCCTTCTAACCTAAATTATTCTGTAATTCAGATAGAATAAATACTCTAACCATTAAATTTGTCAAATTGGATCATTTTAACAGGTTTTTTTCAGCTTGTTCTTTGTTCTGTGGCAATATCTGTTGACAGTTACCATCCCTTCCTTTTTTCTAATCCTTTCCAATCTCAGATTTTGTATTGGAAACCATGCAAAAGAATGTAGCTCATCAGTGGATCCAAAGTAAAAGAGAAGAAATTATTGATCAGATGACTGAAGCATGTTTGAATCAATCACTGGATGCTCTTCTATCAAGATTTTTACTCATGAAAGAAGATTATGAACTTATAAGCACCAAACCTACAAGGACATCAAAAGTACGACAACTGCTTGATACTTCAGACAGCCAAGGAGAGGAATTTGCCAGAATTATAGTACAGAAGTTGAAAGATAACAAACAGCTAGGACTTCAGCCTTATCCAGATATTGTATCTAATTCTCAAAGACTGCATCTTTAAATTTATTCTTTCTTTATGAAACCATGTGAATATTTCTTACAACATGATTCTTGTTTCTAATATGGTATTTTATTTATATTTAGCTTTGTCTTTGCTGTGCCTTTGTAAGAGTATCAGAAATGACCCTGAGTTCTTCTAGCCTGCATTTGGTCAGTAATCAATTAGTAATTTGAAGTGCAATCATAAAACCAAACACTTGACGGTTGCTGACTCATTTTGTAAAAGTATTTTGTTTATACATGACAAAGAAAAACATTAAAGGTTCACCATTTTACATATTTGCTGTTTATACACATCCTTTTCTTTCATCTCACAGGATTGAGGCATGTAATCTTAACATTTTTTTCTCATTCCATCTGCTCTTTCTCACAGAGGAGGAAAAAAAACACCTAGGTTCTCTTTTCCAGGGCTGTTCTGCTGTGTGTGTAATAAACTTCCTTCCTTAAGCCATGCTGGTGTGCATACAGGAGAGGAGTGGTAGGTGGGAGGAAGTTTATATTGCATTTCTGCAGGATTTTTTATTGTTTTGTTTTGTTTGTTTTTCCCATTTTGTTGCCAGAGCAAGTGCCTCAGACCACAGCATAAGAAGAATTTTAGTCCAAAGAGGAGCCCAAGGGGAAGGAGGACGTTGTGCTTGTCATCTTTGTTCTGCTCAGGAGTGATATAAGAGAAAGGCTGCAGCTATAGCATTTTGCATTGTTTGGTTATAAACACTTCAGCTATTCTTGAAATCATTGTAGGATGAGATCCAGGAAGAACTTACATAAGGGCATCCTCACTTAACACCTTTTAACATTTCCTTGGTCATCTGCCTTGCCTTTGTCACCTGCCATCTTACCACCCCTTACCTTTGTCATCTGCCATAAATACTTCTTATGTCATGTTGCTAGATCAAACTTCTAACTCAATTTTATGTTTGGTATTTACATGATGAACTACATAAGTAGTTGGGTCTGTACAAAGATCAATCATTCCTGCTCTGCCATGCTGGAAATAATGTGCAGGGGTCTCTTCTGCTATCACCTGCCTTAACCTCCTCTAGATCACATCTCTGCTGTCCTTTTTGTCTGAAGGACAGGAACATGTTGAGGCACAGGTGAGGCCACCCAAGAGGAAAAGGTATGTGGTATTTCTTCAGTTACTTTCACAAGACCTTAGTGACTTTATCTAGATGACTTCAAAACTAGTAAAAAATTACTAGTTTTAATTTGTCAGAACACAGCACAGGCAGATTATTTTTGCAAGCACTAATAAATAATTACAATTTCTGCTCAGGCTATTTAAAATTTGGGAAAATACAATCTCCACATACAAGAATGGTGAAATATACCTAAATTACAATATAAAAAGGAGCAGATAAATGAAAAATCCTAAGGGATGGTTGTTTCAAAACCTATGGAGATGTAAGACCTGCCCCATTTCAATGATTCAAGCTTCAGTGTCATTAGTGGTTGCCAACAGCTTACTTTTTTCAATGTCTTTATGATTTTGTGAACTGAATCACAAAAATACAATGTATAGTTTGTTGGATAGGAGAGGTTTAATTTTTTTTTTTAATAAAGAAAGTTTTTGACATAAACTGGGTATTTGCCTTTTATCTCGCTTCCCTCTGGAAGCTGAAAAATTCCAGTTAAATAGCTGGAATCAGGGCTATGGTGCAATGAGTGGCTGTGCTTTTCCCAGAGTAGACCTAATGATGTCTAGCAGGGAGAGGTCTAAGGAAAGCTGGTGCCAAAACTGTGTGTTTCACTGCACATCACATTTTAAGCCACATTGTTCATTATTATTGGTCCTTAAAATAATATTTGTGTCTTGCAAGGTGGGAAGTAAGATTTCTTCAATGTGTGTCCAAAATTGTTCATGTATTAGGAACTTTCCTGAGAACCCACTGTAAGACAGCTATGTCAAGGAAAGGAGCATCCTGCAGCTTTCAAAGTCTCCCTGTTGACTCCTGCCTGTCAGTACAGAACTAGTTTGGTTTCCCTTAATTACAATTAAATGTGGCCCTATGGAGTCACATTCAGGAATGGTGCTGTCACACTGCTGCAATCACTATGGGCTGCTCCTCTTTGTGTGCCATCCCCGTGAGGTGGCACAGCTGCAGAAAGAGTAATTTTCTACCCCCAGCTCTGAATATATTATACCCCCATGTCTGTAAGGACATGAGCATTCCAGCCAAAACCTGAGGCTACTCAGGGTTTGAAAACTCAGGCCAATCTCCCTCCTCTTTCCTTGGACCCTCCATGATGGAATACAATCATGGAATAGTTCTGGTTAGAAGGGACTGCTAAGGGTCAGCTTGTCTAGCCCTTCTGCCATGGTCAGGGACACCTTCAGCTGGATCAGGTTGCTCAGAGCCAGTGTGACCTTGAATGTTTCCAGGGCGTCAGACACTACCACTCTGGGCAACATCAACCAGCCCTCTCCAACACCTCTCTCCAACACCTCTCTAACACACAAATCTCCTTGAGTGAAAGGGAGGAGGTAGCCACAGTTGGAGCTCGAGAAATACAGACAAGGGCATAATGAGAATGATTTGGGGTCAGCATGGGGGAGGAGAGGTGGAGGTTTTGTGCTTGGCCTTCACAAAGAGTAAAGGGTTTATGGAGGTGACACATGTGAGAGTCAGTATGAGCCGCAGACTGACACTTCTGCTGTTTTACAGTTGTTTTAACAGTATTTTGTACATTCCTCATTTCTTCATTGCAATTTCTAACAGATTTTCCTGCTTTTTTCACTCCAAGGGGAAATGCTGCTGATGTTTCAGACTGACAATAAAAGCTTTTCTCTGAGTTGTAACAGCTCACTGAAAGCCTTTTAAAATGCACACATAGAAATGTCTTTTTATATGCACAAAGGGGAAAATAGAAACATAGGACTACACATATTATTTAGTGTTTGTTGGCATTAGATTTTGTATGGTGTTTTAGCATCTTGTCACTGAGTAGTGGCTGCTCCATGTGTTCTGCTGCCATACCTGAAGTTAATATGTTTGGAAGAAGTTTGCTGGTCTGTGAGCTACATTCTCTCCTGCATCAACTTTGTGGCAAAGTAAGTAAAGATCTGGTTTTACCAAGATGACACTAATGGTGGCCTTTGTTTGCCATTCAGAGTCTTGCAGCTGATGGTAGAGGGTGTTTGGCAGTGTGTTTTCAGTCAGGGGTCAGTGTAAGTGCATCTGTTGTGGATGAGCACTGTAGGGGCCCGGGCTGGCTGAGGCACAGAGGGCAGTTATGGAAAAGGAGGAAGCAGAGCACTTGGCAGGGCACCACTGAGCTGTTTGCTGCCGCTGAGCAATGGTATGAATGAAGAGGGCTCTAGATATAATTGAAGTAGCCTTGTTTCCAGTGCAAGTATGAAAAGCTTTCCTGAACAGTAATGGAAGCATGGGCAGAATGCTTCCATTAAAATGCCACAGGTTTAGTCAGGCAAGCATGCCTTACTTTGCTGTTCAATCAGAAAATGTGTGTTTATATGTAACTGAGACACACAGAAGAATTACTGTGAACAGTAAGTTGGTACAGGAGAAGCTTCACTGCAAACATTCTTATCAAGTCCTGAAATACTGTAAAAATGAGTAAGAAAAACTTGTTACAAAGGCATTCACATTCACTTCTTTATATTAAAATGCAAGATTTACATTTAATCTTCCTTGGCAAAGGAACTAGATTTTGTGTTTACAGAATAAATGTTCAGGAAAAATCCTTTTTGTGCACAGTGCATGCTCTATGATTGCTCAATGTTGATTTATGTGCTGTTCCTGTAAATCTATGGCAAGTGTCCAGTAGTATGTAACCACGAGGGTCAGACCAATAGAAATATGGGAGACATTAATGAAGAAAAGACTCTGTTTCATGTTTGAACATGCAGCTTCTACAGACTTGAAACAAAGGGCTGAGGCTGGCTCAGGAGCAGGATAAATGGACAGTATAAAGGTGGTCTGATAGCAAAGTCCCTCAATATAACACACAATCAGAAAAACAGTTCAGTGCCCCACATCAGAAAAAGGACAAACTCAAGTTCAAATTTCAGAGTTAAAATAATTACACATTCTTGAAAATATACATTCTGGGCTTTAGGTTTTAGTTTGTGAACAATTGCCCAGGCAGAAGAAAAAGAATTTAAGATGACAGAGGCCCTGATTAAGGAACGTGGGGCTCAGCCTCTGTTTGTCCAACAAGGAGCAACATCCCTGCAAAACAATCCCATTGCCAGAATTGCTACATTATGATGTACGTAACCACAAACTTGCAGGCAGCTGGAATTGTGCAATCTTTTAAGGCAGGCAGACTTAGAGAGCTCTCATCCTTCATAGATAAAACAACTTGAAAACTGTTTATTCAAAGAATTTGTCCTACACCTGCTTTGAATGGGGTTTAAAAGAAACACAGCCATTTCTGTGTAAACATTAACTGTATAGCTGTCTCAGTCTACCATATAAAGCATGTTTATACAAGATGTTACTTTAAAATGAAGAAGCAGGAGGAGCGCTGGCTTTAAAAAGAAATATTTGTATTGTGTTTATTATTCCTTTTGGTCACCGTGGGTTACAGGATGGAATGTACAACATGATTCTATGCTCCTGCTTGTTTTCTAGTTGGGCTGCTCAGGTGTGTTGGAGGAATATCTGTCCATGGATTCAAATACTTTACTTTCCTGTGTGATTAGTGGTCCAGTCTGATGAAGTGCTGTTATCTGGTGCTTTAGCTCTAGTGACGAGACTCTTGACCTGCTGGATCAGCTCCTTCCAGATGCCCTTTGGCACGTGAGTACATCATTCTTCACGGAAAACAAAAATCCCGGTTAAATCTTGCATTTATTAACTTCTCACTCTGCCAAAAAAGCAGAGTTTTATTTTCTGGATGTTTACTTGTGTGCTGTATGCCATACTGGCTTTGCTACAGGACATCACAGGAAAACCTATTACTTCAGAAGACTAACTGAATACACTGGGTAAATAATTTTTCTTTCTTTGCTTATTCTTATCCTAGGGGTTTTTTTTAAAGCTTATTTAATTAAAGTAAGATCTTAACGCGAGATCAGCCTGTTTTGTGTCTCATGCATCATGTCATAAATTACTATAAAAGACACAGATCTATAATTCTGAAAATAAGAAAAATAATTGAGTTGATTAATATCTAACAAAGCATAGATTAAACTTAGAAGAAAATTTGGAAAAAAAAACCCCAGAAACACATTTAGTAGTTTGAAATTGAATAATACCTATTAATTTCAGTTTACAACTCTTTGCTAGTCTATCCTTCTGTAAGACTTTCTGATTTAGCAAGTTATGCCACCAAAATAAACATCTTTGTGTAGTGTTAGTAAAAATTCCATTGAGGCTTTCTAAATCGGCAAGAAGGAATTAGTCTGCGCTAGTTATTCATGGTTTCAGTGACATATGGATGAAGGATTTTTCTCCCCCAACTTTCCTTTAGTTTTATTTCTATCACAACTTTCTTAGGAATAGAGAGCAGCAGTTGCCTGCTTCTGCTTGCTAATGACCTCAGCTGAGGCTGTTTGGGGAAACCACATTCCAGGAGTCTGAGATCTTTCTTGAAAGCTCTCATTGATTTTAATATTCATGCTACTGTAATAAAAATAGCAGGTAATGCAGTGAGTGAGAGAAGAGGTTATTCATATGGGTATTAACTTAGCTATCCTGGTTAAACAGAGGTGTTTATTTAGAGCAGCAGCCCTAGAGAGGCACTGTTCTATTCCAGCAGCCCTTCTGCTAAAGGAAGCAAGCATGTCACCTACCCTCTGGTAAGCTGCTAGCTTCTCTTTTTAATACTTTCCTTAGATTTCGGCTACAGTAGCTTTTCTCTCAAATCTCCTCTGTGATTTGTTTTGGGGTGGGAATGTAGTGCTGGGGGTGGAGCAAGTCCCTTCTGTGGGAAAGGCAGTCCATGACCCTAGTAATGCATGTGAAGCAATAATTCATTAAATGTTTTTATAAACATAGAATTTGAAATCCAAAAAGAAATATGCTTGTTTCCTATTGAGTGAGAAATGTTTGCTTCAGATGAGATCAAAGTGGATTTTTTGTTGCTGTTGTTTGAGTTTTTAGTATTATAATTTCTGAGAGTATTTTATTTTATGCTGTTTCCTCATACTGCATAATCTTGTTTTGTTTGCTTTCCTCATTGGGAAATGTCCAACAGTACAAGCTGTTATGAATACTCCCTTTGAGACCTGTTGATGCTCATGCTCAGTAGTAGTGTTTTGAAGTTTGAGCTACACATTTTTGGTCATGTTGAAAACTGCTTGCTCATCTGATTTCATGTTCCAATAGCTATTAATATAAATGTATATGTTTGGGGTTTTTTAACTTTTGGCCAATCTTCTACAGGCAGGAGAAAATTGCCCAGAATGTACTTAGAGAAAATAAGAGATTGCTCATGACTTTTAGAACGGTTTTCTAAATGCACTCTGATTCTAATACACACATAATTAAAATGTGCTAGATTTTAATTTTAAATTTTATTCTTAATCTCACTAATTTTCTGAACAAAACTACAAAATATTGGGAGTTTATCTGTTTTCTTAGCTGGATTGACTTTGCCTGGTTCATTGGTGGCGCTTTCATTATTGAGAAATTTTGTGGAGGTAGACAAAATTCACTAAAACAAAAGACCATGAAATGAGGTGTAAATCTGATGGCCAGCATATTCCAACATCTTTCATAGGAGTTGACTTTTTAAATTACTTTCCTCAGCTTCCAAGGGAAGCTGCTGAAGGCAGCAATAATTAATCTCTGAGATCTGATTTACTAATATTTCTTGAATTAAAAGATGAGAATTGCTAAGTACTCTAACAAATAGATACATCTCAGTCCCTCTGGAAGCAGTTTGTAAGACTGCACAAGTCTGTAAGTTCCTATGGAGGTACATAAGCACTTCCCTGGCCAAGCCTTCTTTAATCATTTGGCAAAGTTGAATTGCCTCCTTAAGAAGGAAGCAATCACTCATGAAATGTAGACCCCTGAAGAATGGGAATGTCTGAGAAAATCCTGCCCTACCATACCAGCCCTACAGTAATTTATGGAAGAACTGTGTTTGATTTCAGCTTTAGTTTTCAACTACTATCTACTTGTCCTTTCCTTCATTTTCATGTATGACTTTTGGCAGTGGCTTAAGTAAGAAACGACCTTTTAAGAATTACCTGTATGTAATTAACCTAACTTCTCAGGCGTTGGTCTCCAAGGTCCTTTCTCTTGCTCTTTGCATATCCAGCTGTGAGATAAACATGAAGCTCCAAAGGATTTAGCGCCATTATGGCTGTCTGGACTCTCAAGGCATTGTGCTTCCCTGAGAGGAAAATTTGCCTCCATTTATTGAGAGAGTGCCTAAGAAAAAGGAAGACCTGAATGAAAATAGGTTCTGAAGCTGTGTAGCAGAGCTCACTTGCTGACACGAGGCAGAGGCAAGTGCTGGCAGCTGTGTCATTCAGCCTGCTGTGGCCTCTGAGGCACATTGATTCCAGAAACCAATAGCTCCTTCTGCTTGTCCCATTCTGTGGAACCAAGACACCAAGGACCTTCTTTAGCATCAGAAAGCTTTTATGCTTTGCTCTTCAGACTTCGTACTCAAGAGTTACTAAAATGCCTGTACTGGTAATTTCGCTGCCATAAAGTTTTATCATCACAACACCCAATCATGTTAAAACTGAATGCGAAGAACCTCAGCTTTTTAATTACTACATAAATTAAAACTTTCTGATCTCAGAAAGCCACTTTGAATGCTAGATGATTCACCATAAATATTTTTCATCTATTATAGTACAGATTTTATGACTGAAAATGGCCACCTCTGTAAGAAATCACCTTATTGCAGCTCTGATGGTTGTCCCCAATAGGCTCTCTCAGTTAATAGATTTTGCTGTCTCTCACTTGGATTATGTGCAACTTCAAAATGTGACCTAAATGTCCAAATGATGGAGAAGAGCTATTGAAGCATTCTTGAACGTGCAAGCTTCTCAGCTGAAGCTTCTTGGCACACCAGTTCAAGGCACAAGCAACAGTGATGGTCCCAGAAAGGGAACATGGTGGTATGAGGATGAAGTGATAGTGACAACAGTAGGACAAGACTATTGACCAGATTCAGTAGGAAAAAAATAGCAGAAGCTATAAATGAGGTAAAGAATTAGACAACAGACACTGGGCAAATCTTTGAATAGTTTTCATCATTGCCTGGAATGTAAAAGCATTCTTTAAACACTTGACAAAAAAATTATTCTTAAGCTATTATACAGGGAGATCTGTACAGGAGACTATGTCCTATATCCCACTAATTTTCTTAATAGCATGAAAACTTTGCTGAGAACATGCATCAGTCACGACTCAGTGAATCTTGTTTATTTAAGGACATAGTCCTGAATAAAGAAATCAGTAACTGCTCCAACAATGTGATGGCACTGAATGAAATCAGTGCACTGTCGAAGCTGCTAGAAATATTACTGTTGTCTTGGTGGAGAAGGAAAGGCAGAAGCTGTTGAAAAAACTTTGTCCAAAAATTTCTGCTTTCAGATTATATAAATTAATTACAGTGAAGTTGCATGTCTTGGTTATGGAAACTGAATCTCTTTCCTTTTGATTCTCGGGCCACACCTATTTGTGGACTTATTTGAGGGTCTGGGTAAAAGTTCTGCTAATGTGACATGTTCTCAAAGTACTGAATTTTGAACTGTTTCTTCTAATTGTTTTTCTTTCATAATGGTTTAATCAGCAGTCACTTATTTATGGAAGAAATACTTCCCTACACAGCTCCGGTTACAAATTTTTAGAAATTGGAAATAAACTTTTGGTAGCACAAGAGATAAGAGGAAAATATGCAAAACATTGTGTTACTTAAGAATATAATTTAAACTTTACCTTAGTGCTCTCATGAAAGCTGCAGATTGTAGAAGTACTACTAGGCTTCAGTAGCATTGCCAGTTTAAATGATCAAATTTCCTTTAGCTAGCAGGCCCTCTGTACTAGACATCTGAGTTCAGGTTTGATACCATGTACACAAGTTACCCATACCTACCAATTACTTGATGTATTCTTTTTTACAGGAAAATAACTGTATCCTCCTTACCAGGGAGACTTCATTTCAGGAAAAGTGATAGCCCCTGGGTTTGGTCACTGCTTGCATAGCTCCACATTAACATCACCTGGGTAACAAAGGTTAATTTTGAATTCCCACACCCTTTGAGCTGTGCTGACTGAAACAGTTGTGCATTTCAGCTCCCAGCCAGAGCTCGCATTTAAAAATCTGAAAAAAAAAATTAAAAATCATACATCAAGCATACGAAGCATACAATCATTTTAAACCAACTATGCTAGAAAAGGACTATTAATACAGATATGTCCAGATTTTAGTATGTTACTATCATGATGAACACTCCAAACAGCTGCCATCATGGGAGGGGTTTCTGCTGATATTTTGTGTAGCCATCAAGAACAGAAATGGAGACAGGAGGTTCTGGAAGTATTGGCCTATTGGCCTGTATTTTGGGGTGGGGAGGGTGACATTTTCCTCCTTTCTGTCACACAGAAGGAAACAGGTCAAGTTCATCAGGAATTTGAAGAAAGATATATGAATGGTGTACTGGATGCATGAAATTTCTCCCTGCAAAACAGGATGATGTTTTTTAATCATAGAGGGATGATGTGACAAGTAACAGGAGTCACTTGTGTGTGTGAGGAGGAGGAGGTCAAAAAGCCAAAAGGGAGACTGCAGTCATGCTTGGATGCTTTTGACAAGAGTTAATGTTTAAGTTTATACTAGTGTTCCCACAGTGTTCCTGTGTTTAGGGAAAGTGCCATTGGGATGAGAAAAGCATTTAATCTTTAAAGAGAGTTCGGCATCTTTCAATTTTTAGTGCTCATCAGGCCTTGTTCACTATTTGATCAATTAGGAAAGTGAGTTGCATCAAAAAAGCTGGGAAGGAAGACATAGAATTATAATATATTCAGGGTTGCTAAACCAGCCATACTTTACAAGGAAAGAAAACCTTTCAGGAAGTTTGGGGAGGGCAGATTGTTTTAAACTGGCCATTGACCCATGTTTAACAACATAAATTTATGAATCACATGTAATGTGTAAATGTAATGTGCAAACATTTGTAATCAAATGGGTTTTGTTTTGCCAGTATTGCATGGATGAGCTTTGTTCTACTCAGGGAACTTGGATCTAGATCATAGGATTTTAAGGAAATGATCTTCAGAAGTGCTTTAGAGTGTGTCTGGAGGAGAGAAGGGAAGGAGAAACAAATGTCTTTTGAGACAGATAGCTAAAATTAGCCATTGGTCTAAGCCCCGTTATGAATCAGCAGGACCCAAGAGCTGAGGCGGCCCCTGCAGCCCGGGGTTCCTCAGCCCCAGCGCTGTGCAGGTGTGCACCAGGCAGCCTGATCCTGTGCACTCAGGCCCTGCTTCCCAGCTCCCAGCACACCTGGATCTTGTCCTGCGAGCAGCACAGGGAAATGCTTTTACAGACATGTTTTGTTGGACTCTCTTACACAGAAGTGTTCCAGGGACAGAGTGTCCCAGACTCAATCCCTCTGAATGTTAGTGGCTTCTCCTGAGTTAAGTGAGGTTAATAGCTAACCAAGCTGCATTATTCACTGCTGCAGTAAAAGATTTTTTTACCCTCATATGAACATTTATTTTGTGAGATTAGAGATTTTGAGGCTCTTTTTCTGTCTTTTCTCTGGTGTTCTCCAGCAGATCAGTTTTCAAGTGAATGTCATTTTATAAAACAAATAATAATGAAATTGAAATTCTTTGTGAGATAAGAACAAATTTTAGGAAGAGGTATTCTTGTAGAAGATACTGCAGCTGAATTAGAACATGTTTCAGGGATACAGTGTCTCCTCCTTCCTTAAAATATTTTCAATAACATAACATAGAATTACAATTCAAGACAAATAATAATAGTGAACTGAGAGTTAACAAAAGCTTCAGAATCTATAACCAAAGACAGTGGCCTCATATTTATGCATTGAAAAGGTATGTAACCATGAAAGCTAAAAAACTTCACTAGTGTGCTGTTCCTGAACTGCAAGATAAAATCAGGCAAAATAGTTGTTCTTTGAATCTTTTATGCCTTGTATGTTAATTTTATTATCCATGTCTCTGATGCCACATGCATTACAAAAATGTTCTCCCCTCTTGTTTTCAGATAACGTGATTTGAAGATGCCAACCCCTTGGCAAAAATGCTGCAATAAAAAGTCCAGAACTGAGAATGCCAAAGCTGAAATGGACAATATGGCAGAGACAAGTGAAAAAATGCAGATGAAAAAAGAGATCACATTACTAAATGGAGTTTCTTTAATTGTAGGGAACATGATTGGCTCTGGTATATTTGTATCACCCCGAGGTGTTTTAATGTACAGTGCTTCCTATGGACTCTCACTGATCATCTGGGCACTTGGTGGGATTTTTTCCCTGTTTGGAGCTTTGTGTTACGTGGAACTGGGAACATCCATCATAAAATCTGGAGGCAGTTATGCCTATATTCTGGAGGCATTTGGGGCCTTTGTGGCCTTCATCAGACTCTGGTCTTCCTTGCTAATTATCGAACCAACAACTCAGGCAGTGATAGCAATCACATTTGCTAACTACATTGTTCAGCCAATTTTTCCCCACTGTGAGCCGCCGTATGACGCAGTCAGGCTGATTGCAGCTGCGTGTATATGTAAGTAGTGATTGCCAGAAGTTAAGAACTGTAATTATGCGTGGTCAGAGAAGGTTTTTCTAAATTTCTATTTCTTTGCATTCTGTGAAAATAATTATTACCTATCAAAAACACGTTCTTAAGAACTAATAATCTTTTATTCAGATGTATTGTGTTTTGAGCTGGTATTACTAGAGGGGAGAGGAGAATTACAACAATTTGGCAGAGAGAAATTGTGACTGCTGATTAAAGGTACACAAATGTCTATGGGTTCACTGGCCTAACTGGCTAACAGGACACTGTCACATGCACAGATTAATTTATGAAAATGAAGGCTAGAAGTTCTTTGAGCATGTGTGGTTGTATGCTAATGCCCTTACTATATAGAATGATTTCTAAATTATTTTCATTTTGAGAATTACAAAACCCTTTTTCTTCCTTTCAAAACTGAAGTGTAGATTATAGGCAAGTCAAGGAAACAGAAGCAAAGACCAAAAAGATTTCTAGGTAAGAAAAAGCCCACTTTGATCCATGCTTGAGAGCACTCGATGTGACCATGCCATGTTTGTTCTGCTCTCTTCTCCAGCAGCTGGGCTTCACACCTGGTGCCAATGCACACCATCACCTTTCCTCATCTGTCTCTGTTTTGAATCGGGGGGTGACAAGAGGGAGAAGTTTGCTGTGTTGCCCTGTGTGTGCTGGAGTGAGAGCAGATGGGCACATGGCTCAGCCCCTGGCTGGACCTGCTGCCAGCTGAGGGACAAGCCTGACTGCAGAGAATTTGGGAAAAGGAGGAAACTTCAAAACCATGAACACAGAGTAATAGCATGTTGGCCTGGCTCAATTCAGTATCTTCTCACAGCATGCAAACTATGTTTGTGCAGAAGTTGTCCTTATTCTGTACCAAAACTGGAGCTTAACTTGGCAGGAAGAAATTTTTGATATACAGGATATAAAGAAATACTATCATTTGTATGTAAATAGCTCTTGTTGAGTTTAATAAAATTTAAATTTTATTTAAAAGGAGAAGGAGCTAGTCCTAAAGTTCAAAGATTGATGTGTTTTGTCTTACTCACTGTCATGAAAACAGAAAACTATTGTGTAAATTTTAAACCAGGTATTTCATTTTAGTAAATCTGGGTGGTCCTGAAGTGGTGAAATTTAATTCAGTTTTACTCCTTGAAAGAGTAGTAGTATCTGGATAGATGGGTTTGAAATATGACTTAAGTGATGTTAAATATCCAGGGCTCCTTTCATGCATAATCTTTTTCTCTGCAGGTTCCTTAACATTTATTAACTGTGTTAATGTAAAGTGGGGTACCCGTGTACAAGATATTTTCACATATGCCAAAGTCATGGCTCTTATCTTGGTGATATCTGTTGGCCTTTACAAAATTGGCAAAGGTAAGAATCATTTTCATTTACCTAAATTCTATGAAATGAATCATATATGATGATTTCAAAATCCATGTAGGGAGATCTTTAACACTTATATATCACGTGTTGTTTATTCTGCAAAAAAAAGTCGGCCATAGGAAGATCAGATGTATTTTATGGCTTGTTAAGAAATAGAGGGTTAATTATTCAGGCCAAGTCCTGTGCTGCTTGGTCTGAATAGCAAATAGCAGCTGAATTAACATCACTTTACTGCTGACTAGTTCAGTCAGCCTCGGAGTCTGACTCATGCATTACTACCTGTCCTGTCACAGGACAGGAGAACAGAATTTGCATTGCTCCTCACAGTTCCCCCCACCACCCTTCTCCCCCCACCTCACCCCACTGGCACCACCCCCTAGGCACAGCACCCTGCCAGAAGAGAACCAGAGAGGGTAAACCATAGGTGGGATTTGTGGGAGGGCATCTTTGTTCCTAGAAACAGAGGAGAAGACTGCAACAGTGCAGTTGTGTGAATCACTGTGGCATGTGTAAGGCATCACAGGGCAGATGAGCCACCTCCTATCAGCAGTAACTGGAGTGAAGTGAACACACTGCAAAGCTGGAGAGCAGTTTATGCTGGTGCTACCTCAGAGCCTTGCATATAGCAATAGATTTGATTTTATTAATTTGGGCCTCTGGTACAGTGAATTCTCCTCTAGTTCTAGCTCTGCTGCTTAGATTACTAAGTTTTTTACATTTTCATTTTCTCTGAAATTCTTAAATTGCATAGCCTCTATCTTTATTCCACTGAAATAAAGGTGGTTTTCCCCCTCCAGTTTAGGAATTATCTTTTTCTCCTGCTAAATTAGCTTATAGAACCTAACAAGCATGCTTTCTTCTCCATTTCTCTTTGCTGGCCTCCTCCTTTCCTTTGCTGCTGTTGCATCAGGTGTTACACCATAAAGCTGCATTAGACTTTAGGAATGGCTTTCTGGTTTAGCCATTACCTCTGCATGTCAGTTGTCACCAGCTGGTTGAAGTCTAAAGGGACCTGGACAACCAAACCCAGCCCTAAGGGCAGAGAGATGAACATTCCGAGAAGAAGCATTGCTAAAGGGTCACAGTTGCATGAAGGAGTAGTTCCCCTCATGAAACTGCTGCAGCTTTGCAAAAGTGTGATTCTGTGATGTCACCTCTGTAGCAGCACTGCCCCTGCTTTCAAATTGCCCCCTTCAAAGCTGCCTCCCCTCCTGCTCACTGCTGTGTGCTGGGGGCAGGGGCTGCTCCCTCTGGTCCCACATACTGCCCGTTTTGTTTCCTCTGCATTGCTCTGTGGGCTCAGGGAGGGTTGAAGCATAAAGGGAACATTATGGTGAGGCACACGAAGTGCTGAGGGCTTTTACTGGTAGTAAAGGTCTCATCTCTGCTTTGTTTAAGCAGAACTGAGCACTTAAATACGGGAAAGTCTGGGAGGAGGAATGATGCTAATTTCCGGAGGAAGCTGTGATCAGGTCAATGACCCTTTTAAATTCAGCAGCTTTTTTAATGAAAAGAACAGTTATGATGTTTTAGCCCTGCCTTATTCTTTCTGATGTGCTTGGATCAACCTTCTTGTGTTAAAGGTCTGTAAATATAACTGATTCTGAATATGAACTGTCTTTACCAAAAAACAACTCAAAAAACTCTTCTTGAACATTTTGGATTTTTCTTTCTTTTACCTTCCAACCGTTTTCCTCTCCAAAGTATGTGTACATCTCATATCTTCTCTTCTTTGGTTCAGTCTCCTGCTCTTCGGTGACTGAATTGCATTTGTAGTATCTAAAAACTCCTTAGTTGAATCAGTGCTTTCATTTTACAAAAAAAGACTACAAAAAGACATTACTTTCTTTTCTAATTGAAGTGTCAGCATGTTTCTGTCTTCTCTTAATACTTAACCCGCTTCCATTTTCATTAGATGGTAGACTTTCCTTCTGCAATCTCAGTAAGGCCTTTCTTCCCCTTTCCAGCACGGCAGTGAAGGCTTGTGCAGTTTCACTAACATTTGGCCTATTTTGCAGTACTCTGCAGGTTCTCATCTCAACCAATGGAGCTTAACGAAAGCAGAATTTTGAAAGGAAAAATTTTTAATTTCATCCCTTAGTTTTGGGGAAGCCCCTTGTGGGTCAGAGCATCCCACTGAAAAGTAAAGGAGGTCCCCCTCTAGTGGCCACTAATTCATCTGGGGAAAATAAAAGCGCAGCTGTTAGGAAGGAATATGAGACAGATTCAGGAACTGAAACTGGGTTTGCCAAGAGCCTCATCCTGGCTGACAGGGTACTGCATGCCCTCGGTATGGCTCCCTCCTTCCGAAGGGTCAGCAGTAATGTCTGTGAATTCTGGTAGAATTACAAAAGTCACATCCAAATAACAAACATGTGAAAATGTTCTCTTTTCTCCCTGTGCAAGTGTAGCTGTCTGAACATCTGGTTGAAACTCTCTTGTTTGTTAATTAAAAATGTAAGTTGTGCAGTTTTAGAAACAGTAATGAAACCCGGATGCAGTGGGGTGTTATTTCCTTTTGGTTAGCTGGCACTTGAGGTGTAGTGCCCGTCTAAGTTGCAATCCTTGAAATGTAACAGTCAATTGGCACCTGCCATTTGTACAGGGGAAACTGAAAACCTGAGAGCTCCGTTTGAGGGCTCAGCAACAAACCCAGGGATGATTGCCCTGGCTCTCTACTCTGCCCTCTTCTCCTACTCAGGATGGGACACGCTCAACTATGTCACCGAGGAAATGCAGAATCCTGAGAGGTAAACACAGGCTTTCCCTTTGAACCGCTGACAGGTGATGGCAGGACAAGCCACTCTGTATTTGTTTCTGATTAGTCAAATTATTTTCTCTTCTCTTCAAATGAAGGAGTAAATAGGAGAACTCTTTCTGATTATTGTGCTCATTTATCAGTGATACCACACTAAGGAATCATTTACCTGTATATGTGTATTTTACATCTTCCACTTCAGACTACAATTTTTAAAGAAGAAGAACAAATTCCTGCTGGAAGCAAGGAAAAGCAAAGGTGCATCTGGCCCTCTAAAATTCCCTGCATCTCTTCAGTTAGGCAGAATTATTTTCCCAAGACATTTTTTGCCACCAGTAGAGTAAGACTGTGTCAGATTTGTGGCTTTTATGATGTGATCTTCAGCATTATGGTTTATGGGCAAATATAATCTCCTGCCTTCTGTAGGGATGCCAGCCCTGTGGGAGTTGGCTTGAGTCGGCCACTCAAGCTGATATAGTCCATCTTGTCTTGGGACATTAGGTTACGAGTCAGAGAAAAATGCCACAATCAAGAAAATATCTAAGTCTGTGCTTAAATCTTATTGTTTCAGAGCTCTCTTACATTGCTGCATATAACAGACAGTGTATTAAATTTACATGTATGAATGTTTTAAGGCTTTTTTTTTTTTAAACTTGTGGCAGACACACAAGCAACAAACTAAGCTTTTTATGGCTTTATGGCATTGTTTCACACATGGCTGCACGTTGTTTTGTAACCCCATGATTCAGAATGATGGATTACAAGATGTTATGGAGGTATCCATTCTGGGAACAATCTTCTATTTAATTATTTCTTTTTAAATAACATGGAATAATTTTTCCATTTTCCTTTTGCAGGAACTTACCTCTTTCTATTGCAATTTCAATGCCTATTGTAGCTATTATCTACTTATTGACTAATATAGCATACTATGTAGTGTTGGACATGTCAGCTCTCCTCACAAGTGATGCGGTGGCTGTGGTAAGTTGTGGAACATAACTTAAAAGACACTACAGAAAAATTTCAGGTAGCATGCTTGGCAAACAGCTGAAGTACTATCATGTTGAAAGCCGCTTAAAACATTTTTTCATGTAACACTACCATTATATTAGAAGGTGCATATCAAGAATATATCCAATAAATATACTCTTGAAAAATTGTCTTTTATACTCTGTAAATCCTGCTCTAACACTACATCATAGGAAAGATGCTTTTGCTAGGATCAAGGAGCTATAGAAAGTCTGGGTTGTTGGAGAACCATTTTTTTTTCGTTGTCATTCTAGTGCACAGTATGTAATGTTTAATGCTGCACAACCACAGCAATATTTTCAGTGCAGAAGTGTGCACTGAAATTATTTTTTAAAACCTTATCAATATTTTATACAGAAATAAAATAATAATTCATGGATTACTACGGTTGGGATTTGTCAGAATACTTTAAAGCCAATACATCATCCTCGTTTCCATCACTGAATTAATCTAGGCTTCGTTTTTTTAAAAAATGTTTTTTATTGTATCTGCCAATTTTATTTTTATGCTGATCAGCTTTTCCAAATTCTAATTTCCTAAGTCATTTTTGGGTGCCATCAAAAAGCATGGGCTATGACACTACATTTGGGATAATGTGTTTTCATGAGAGTTTCTCAGAATTATCCATATTCCTAACACAGTGGGCCTCACCATTATTTTTCTTTCTGTTACAGACATTTGCAGGTGAAACCCTTAGTCATGCCAAGTGGATAATTCCTATAGCAGTGGCCATGTCTTGCTATAGTGGCTTAAACTCATCAATTATTGCAGCATCTCGGTATGGAATAGAAGATTTATTTTAAATAATTGAAGAGGAATCTATAATCTGCCTTCTTTACTAGTTTGGTAATTTTTGCCATGTCAAGTCATACATTTATGATGGAGGTGTTGTTACAGTCAGATGTCTTCTCATGATTAGCACCATTTGATAAACTAAAGCCACTTAAGAAGAGAACAGCACTTACAACAGAGTAATAAAAGAATTGTTTCTTTGCTTTGTCAGGAAGCAAAAAGCTCTTCCTATGGTTGAGTTTCCTTAGTCTTTTTTTAGGCTGTTCTATGTTGGAGCCAGGGAAGGACACCTCCCTGTCAGTCTGAGCTTGATTCACGTGAAGTGCTTCACACCGGTGCCTGCTCTCCTGTTCAACGTAAGTGACGCCCAGCCTCGTGCCTGCCTGGCATTTGGGGTTTGCACCTGGGGTAAAACATCTCTGCTCCGACTGGACTCCTCACAGACTTCTCCTGCCCTGGAGACATCTTCTGCATATGCCCACAATTTAAACTCATTGAGGGGGTGGGAGGGGTGTTATTTTGTGTCATAGAGGGGTTTATTGCAGTGGAAAGAGAATGGCTTGATTCGTTCATGGGCTCTCCAAACAATATTAGTGAGAAGTACAATAGCATTGCTGAGAAAACAGAGAATGGCTAAAGATGTAATGGTATAGACAAGAGCTGTTTATGTCTCTTATGTGAGCTTTTAAAGTGTCACTGGAGGAGAATATGTCAGGAGCATCTCTTCGACCCTGCTGTAGGCTGATGTTCTACAACTGTAGTTATAACAGGAATGACAAAGCTCTTAAAATTAAATTTCTACCATTGGATGCCTATAGCCCTGTTGACTTTTTCTCTGTTGCCACTATACAGGTGAGATCTTGTGTCACAGAATTACTGGAAATTATTTTCATAAATAATCCATGTATTTAAGCATGCATTTTATTTGATGTCTGCCATTGCCATGTGTTACATATCATTTATGAATAGATTATCATACTCACCCTGCTTGACATCAAATAATTTACTAAAAAATTATAATCTCATTATAAAGACTCTTCTCACAAGGACTCTGTTTGCACTAGCAAGTTGATTTATACTCTCTGGGTATACCACCATTCACATTTTTCATGTGGAAAGTGGAAGTTTTTCTGCTCATCTGTTAAAACAGACATTGAATTCCTGGTGGTTTAGGTCTTTCTGTGCAGGCAGTATAGCACACCTGCAGTGCACAGAATTTTCTCTAATGGTTTCAGTTTATGAGTGGACTTAAATCCTAAGCTCATACAAACAGGTTGGAAACCAGTTTGTAATTTTACTCTGTCCTTGTTTTCACATTAAAATGTCTTTGTTTTTTATTGTTTCTAGGGCTTAATGACTTTACTTTATCTCCTTGTGGAAGATGTTTTCCTCCTTATTAATTACTACTGCTTCAACTATTGGCTCTTTGTGGGTCTATCTATTGCAGGACTAATCTATCTGAGATACACTCAGCCACATAGACCTCGGCCTGTTAAAGTAAGTAAAAAAGTCAGGAAGAAAGCTCTAAAAGCCAGCTAATGCATGTGTTTATATGACCTTTAATATCACAACCATAACAGTACCAATTATAGATTATTTATTAGCCATAGAAATTCTTTCAAAATACAAGATGAAGGAGCAAAACCCATTAAGAGTCCACAAGAACATCTGTTCGGGTAGTTCTGCTGTGAGATTGAAATTATATACACCATTTATTCCTCTTTCATTCAGACTTATGATAATGTTTGTTTTAAAAAAAAAAAAAGGAATAAATAAATGTCTGAGGTTTTTAGCCCATCCTGGGAGAACAGCAGACTCAGTAGAGCTGGTGATGGAGGCTCCAGAGAGGTTAACACTCTGATCAAACTACATGATTTAACAAGCACAGTAAAATCCTTCCAAAGCCCATAAATGTCCAGAATTCTGCCCACACAGAAGTTAGCTTAAATTATCAAATATATTTTCAATGTTCCCTCCCACTGGGTAGTGGTCATAAACAGTAAAATGCAAGTTTGATGATTGACTTAGAAGAGCATTTGACTATCAGTTAGGCAAGGGTGAGTGCACAGAAACAAAGTGTGCCTAAAACCTGTTTCTAGTTTTAATCCAGTGATTGTCCAGGAAGCAAAGATGGAAACACACAGCAGGCACACAAAACCATGCACTGGCCCCTGTGTGTTGGCTCCGTGACCTGCATTTTGGCTCTGCAGTGATGCAGTAAAAATCAAGAGAATTACAAATTAACATACCCCAAATATTTCTTCTTTGTCAATCTCTCTTCCTAAACTCCTGCATCATTTTTACAAACACATTTTCTTTCCACTAAAGTGTAACATCCTGATTAATTTTAAAAAAGTTCAAACAAAGGCATAAAATATTCTAAGCACCTCCTGCTAGAAACCTGCCCAATTTTCCACAGCAGACCAAATTTTCCTGAAGCATGTTCACACTCAATTTCCAAACTTTCCCACAAAATATGTGGAAGATTAAATCTTGCCTTATTGGCAATTTTGCCTCTGACTCTACTAAGGATTACAATCAGATTTTACACAAAGACTGTTTAATTCCTGTCAGCATTTGTCAGCTTAGTCAACACCACAACTCCACATACACAATTTCCTTTTCTGAAATGCAGCAGTTGGTTTTCATCAACTTATATTTTTAACCTTTAAAAGGAAAAAAAAAAAGTATTTATAACAGTAAACTCCCACCAATTTCAGCTGGAATTCAAATGTCAACTCCTGGACCCCTGAGAAGGCTCACTACTAAAGACAGGAAAAATAAAAAGTGAAAAATAAATTCATAAAGAGGTTTTTGAAACCTTCATAAAATCATAAAAGGTCAAGGTTTGGAAGGGACCTCCAAGATCACCTAGTCCTAACCATCCCTGCCACAGGCAGGGACAATTTCCACCAGACCAAGTTGCTCAAGGATTTATCCAACCTAGCCTTGAACTACTGCCAGAGTTGGGGTATCCACAACCTCCCTGGGCAACCTGTTCCAGTGTCTCGCCACTTTCACAGTGGAGAATTTCTTCCAAATACCTAACCTAAATTTCTCCTCTTTCAGTTTGTACCCATTATTCCTTATCCTATCACTACATTTCCTGGTGAAGAATCCCTCTCCAGCTCCCCTGTAGGCCCCCTAAGACACTGGAAGGTTGCTGTGAGGTGTCCATGCAACCTTTTCTTCTCTTGGCTGAACAGCCCCAGCTTTCTCAGCCTGCTGTCATAGGGAAGGTGCTCCAGTCATATCAGCTTCATGGCCCAGCTTTCCTTATTTGTGATATATTTGTTAAGTGCCCACAAAAAGGGTTGTAAATCAGTCCTTTAGTTCTACAACATCAAGAATGTAATTCAAGGTCTAGAGAAGTCGTTTCCAACCAAAAATACAGGTAACAATTCTGAACTGAAGTTGGAGAGAAAGCTACCCATTACTTAAAGTATTTCTTTCAAAGGTTGATCTTTTACTAATTGTAAAGGAACTGAGCTATGCAGGCCTGAAAAAAATAAAATAGATGCTCAGACGTATATCAAATAAGAGACTCTCAGCAGTGTACACAGAAGTTAATAAATTATGCTGACTGTAAGCAGTCAAAAAGATTCAGTACATACTTTTATTATTGACATGTCTAACTTTAATCTGCAAAGCCTGAATTTTTACAATAGAGTGTTTGTTGCATCTTTTAACAAATGCTGTTTTTTTTTTTTTTTGTCTTCACAGCTTAGCCTCTTCTTCCCTATAGTATATTGCTTATGTTCCCTATTCCTGATTATAGTGCCTCTCTACAGTGACACAATCAATTCCCTTATTGGGGTTGGGATTGCCCTCTCAGGCATTCCTGCATATTATTTGGGAGTCTATCTGCCAGTTGAAAAACGACCTAAATGTCTACTTTGGCTCTCTGGTAAGCAACATCATGTCCCAGTCACCATGTCAAAACCTTGGTCAGAAGAAGGAAAGAACAATTTTTCCTAAAATCCTTATTTATATGAAGTTTGGCTATGCTTTGGTATGTGGCATGTCTCAGATCATCTGCTTTATCACATGGTTCTGAAAACAAAACCATGCTTACCTGTACAAAACAGGCCAATATGTAGGTGTCATAACTGTGTTGGCTCAATAAAAGCCACGTAGAATTGTGAATACTAAACCTAATCTTTTTAATACCCTGGAAGGCAGAAATACCAGAACATCTTTGCTTCACTTTCCATCCAAGAATGGAAAAATCCAAATCAGAGGAGTCCACAGATTTTCAAAAACAATGAAATAATTAATTATTCACTTGAAGGGTAGTTGCTAGTCCTCAAATTCAGACAGTCTGGAAAAACAAATTTTTAATATTTTAGATTATTATACTTGGAATTCAGCTATCAGCAATGAAAATGTTGATGAAAACATGATTAAATAAGAATTTCAGTTTAATAATTTGCTTCTTTTGCTTTTAGCTATTTATAACTTATACCTAATTTTATTGATTACTGTGTTTCAAGATTTTTCTACTATCTGTGTAATGTTTTCAAACCCTCAAAATCCAGATGTATGTCTAAGATATATTTAAATTTCTGTCACACATTTTTGCCACTACAGCTACAACAACGAAGTATGTTCAGATGCTCTTCTACTGTGCTCTGTCAGACCTGGACATAGATGTGGAACCCACAGCAGCCAAGAGTAAATAGAGTTGCCTCAACATTGAGAATTGTGCCTTGACATCTCCTGTCTGGAACAATTTTTATCATCTGAAGTTCTCCCCACATGCTCAGTCATACTAGAGTACCAACCACTGTACTGTGCATCAGTTTGATGTCAGTTAAGTTGTGATGGTTTTATAAAACACTCTGTTTTCCAGGATTTCTTTTTAAAATTCCGTTTGTTAATATTGAGTTATCATGTAACATGTTGAAACTATAAAGCACTTTGTTGGAAAGGATGAAAGTTTGACAAGAAAGTTTCACAGATATGTGTGCTTGGCAGAAAGCTCTTTGAATGTAGGATCTGAGAATGAAATAGACATGGAAGCAAGTTTTGATATAGAACAATACATGTCTAAATTGACAACTGCTGAGCCAGTCATGACTGGACAACTAAGAAAGCAAAGGTTAAGTCGTGTTGCTAGGGTGTTTTATGACTAGAGCAAAGGATATGTTGACCACAAACAAAAAGATATTTTTACCAAGCAGAAATAGGTCTTAGGAGAAGCAGAAACAGGCAAACAAGCATGCCAATGTGGCAAGTTGGAAAAACGTCTAAGAATTTTTTGCTGCAAGAAAACTGAAAAACAACTTTAAGCTTAAACTGTAACATATTAACTCATGTGATTGGATAGTATTGACCATAATATGGTAATGATAGTAGTTATGATAGGCTATAGGTAATAGTAAAGGTATTAATTGGTTATGTATTAAGATGCTCAGCAAAGAAAATATATAATGCAATATAACCAAAACTAAAGGGTCTTCAGTCTTGTCTGTAGCTGAAACTGACAGCTGTAGGCATGGCTCTGTCGCCCACAACCCAAGACTGCTTTAAAATCTTGTGTACAATAAACAGCATTTTGAAGAGCCGCCTGGAGTCCTGCATCTCTCATCTCAGGCTTTTACTAATGGCGCCCACATTTTAGTAGGCAAACTCGGACTTTTAGCAGTAAGAGACCTCCTGGTGAACTCAGAAGGAAGAGCCCACAAGGAGGAACAGGCACCTGAAAGGAAGGTGACCGGAGGCCGGACAGACGTTGCTGCAGGACAGTACCTGGATTGGAGCTCAACGTAAGCAAGGAGGACAGCAGGTGAGCACTGGGGAATCAATGGGGCAGAATGTGTCTGCCAATCAGAGACATGTGTATCAGCATTTAAAATCTCTAATTAAATCCAGTCCAAGTAAATTGCCAAGACAAGAGCTTAAAAAGCTTCTACCATGGAATGAGACCAAGTTCCCCAATGCTGATTCTACAGCTGTGTTTACCGGAGACCTTTGGGACTCTGTGGGGGTCAAATGATACAATGCTATTTCTCACCACGACAAAACAGCAGCAGATTTACTCCCCACTTGCTGCGGGCTTGTAGAAATGTTTTCTGGGAAACTCTCGCTGCAGTGCCCTTTCCCCCCACCATTCCACCTGAACCCCCCGCGCTGCCTCTCCAGCCAAGAGAGGGGGAAGGAGGAAGAGGGAGAGGAAAACACCAACTGCAGCTGCAGTAAGAGAGGTAGACCAAACTAAAAGCTCCTCTACCTCAGAGGATGAGGGGGATCGCTTAAATCCAACACCAAATCCTTAAATCCATCACCAACAAACACAAAAAACCAACCAGATTTGTTTCCAAATAATCCCAGGGCTTCCGCTGTAACTGGAGGAGATCTTTTAATCATGTTGCCGCTGCCAGCAGGAAGCACGGAGGGACCCACTAAATCATCCCCCCGATTCCTTACGCCTGCAGCTTGCAAGGCTTTCGAGAAAATTACTGATGCTCTGCAAAATAGACCAGCACATCTCTATGTTCCAGATAAACATTTTTTCCTTGCAGTTTTAGGAGAAACTCTGAGACTGTATGGCCTCATCTTTCAATGGGACTCCTCTCAAAATTGCCTTTGCTAATAACTGAATGGGTTTTTCTTTCTTACAGGTCACCAAAGACAATCTTTACATCTTTAGAGATGATTTCTCAAATCATCATCAAAGGCAGAGCAAGGCTTCTTTCTACAGCAGGTTGCAAATTTACAATCATCTACTTACCTATAATTAAATCCTATTTTGATTGGGCCATGCAAAAGTCAGATTTGTTGTATGCCTTGTTAGATTTTCCAGGTGTTTGCTCCATTCATTATCCAGCATACAAATTGATCAAAGCTAAATTATGCTACAAAGAGAAACCCCTTATCAGTGAAGAACCTTTAGAATCTCTTCAGTTATGGGCCAGGACAAACACAAGGCCGTAGTTACATAGCAAAATAAAAATACCAAATCCTGGGAACAAGATGTTCAAACAGTCAAAGGTTCTCCTCAGACTGTTGAATTGGCAGCTGTGCTGAGAGCATTTCAGCTCTTTTCAGAGCCTTTTAACTTAGTCACTGATTCAGCATACATTGCTAACATTGTTAGGAGAATTGAAGGATCTGTTTTAAAAGATGTTAGGAACAACAAATTGTCTTTGGCTCACCTGTCTTTATCAAATTTTGTCACACAGAACTAATCTGTATTTTGTTGCCCACATTAGAGCTCACTCTGGTCTCCCAGGGTTTATGGCAGAAGGGAATGCACGAGCTGATGCATTGGCATCAGCAGCACGTGGTGAGGGAGCTGCAGGAGACACTGAAGATTCCACTTTGGTGCTTCCTGCAGCTACCTTGCCTAACATTGTTGAACAAGCTCAATTGAGTCATGCCTTTTTTCACCAAAATGCAGAGGCGCTCAGATGAGATTTTCACATTTCCCTAGAGCAAGCACAAGCCATAATAAGGGCTTGCCCTGACTGCTAGCTTGTCCAGCCTATCCCTTCTACATATGCCACCAACCCAAGAGGGCTGGAAAGTTTTCAAAAATGGCAAACAGATGTCACAAAGTACCCTTCTTTTGGGAAATTTAAAAATATCCATGTCTTTATTGATACATTTTCAAAAGCATCTTTTGCATCTGCACATTTAGGAGAAACAGCTAAACATGTTTGCCAGCATTTTTCACAAGCATTTTCCTCATTAGGTGTCCCTCAAGAAATCAAAACTGATAATGGTCTTTCATATGCTTCACAAGAATTTGCCACATTTTTAAATGACTGGGGTGTTTGCCATACATTTGGTATTCCCTCCTCTCCCACAAGCCAGGGAATGGTAGAAAGAACACATCAAACTCTAAAACACATTTTAGATCAACAGAAAGGGGGGGGAGCCCAGGATACACCTCAAACGAGATTGAATAAAGCTTTGTAGGTTTATAAGTTTTTGAATAGCTCTGCAGAAGAGCCTGATCCCCCCATTTACAGATATTTCATGATCAAAAAAGCAAAACTGAAAGAGAACCCCCAGTTTTAATAAAAAATCTAGAATCAGGACAAATAGAAGGACCATATGATCTTATAACATGGGGCAAGGGGTTTGCATGAATTTCTACAGATATAGGACTCAAGTGGCTGCCAGCAAAAAATGTGAAACTGCACCACCCATCAAAGCCCATGGATGCTTCCACACCAGCCAGTGACCCTGCGAGTGGAAGCTGAGAAAACAGCACCCAAACATGAACTATGCAGAATCACCCAAAGAAAATTGTCTGCCAGAAACAGTTCAAGAAAATAATGGAGTTTTATTATTATTTGTGTGGGTGAATGCAGCTTTTACCCTTTTGTTTTTATTTTTATAGTGAAGCTTTACCTGTAATTCAACCAAAGACAAGTGTTTGGGTTTCTTTAGCCAAGTCCACAGGCTCCGACACCATCTGCTTATCCAACACAATCCCCTGATAAAACTCTTTCAACTTGTTTGGTTGGAGTGCCTTTCCCAGAAACTTTTGATAATGTCACTTTTGATAAATATTTGCCATATGACAATCATGACATTTCCCCAACTCCCAGCCTGAGACACCAAACTTATATTGATAATTATAAAGTTGATAAATCTGACATTCAAGAATTGGAATTTTTAGGCTCATTAACTGTGGACACTTGTTGCTTGTTTCATTTTGTAGGAAAAAACAGCCCTCATCTAAATGTTACTCCTTATCACCCAGTTTATAGTAATGACTTGGTGTCATCAAACTAAGCTTCTTACATACAATGAACCGCACACAAATCATTTTAACAAACTTCCTATTCAATTTCCTAAAGGAATTGTCTTATCTGTGGAGACAGGGCTTGGCAAGGTATTCCCTCAAAATCAGATGGTGCCTCTTGTGCCCTGGGTCAACTTACAATAATTGCTCCCAGTGTCAAAAAAGCAATCAAAAAGTAAAATAGAAAAATAAGATCTTCCTTGTGGGATCATTATGACAGCAACTGTGATAGTGAGTTTCACCCTTGGAACTCTGGAAAATCAATTGTTACAAGCATTTTTTGCTTCAAATAAGCTTTTTGAGCTGTCCTCAATTGCACTGAAACAGTTAAACAAATTAGGGTGTTGGCTCAGTAAAGAAATAAACTCTGCTATGATTAGTGATTTGCTGACAGACGAAGTCAGACATGCCACTTTACGAAACAGAGCTGCTATTGACTTTCTTTTACTAGCACATGGGCATGGCTGTGAAGATTTTGAAGGATTGTGTTGTATGAACTTGTCTGATCATTCTACTTCTATTCATAAACAGCTGCAAAACTTAAGAGATTTAGCTAACCAAATTTCAGCAGATGAAACAGTCTTGGCTAGACTGTTTGTTTGATGGTTGGAGCTTTGCACCTTGGCTGAAGGAACTTTGTAAAGTAGGCTTGATTTTTTTAGTGGTGATAATTGTAATTATAGTAGTGGTGCCCTCTGCACTTCTATGTGTGCAGAGAATGATGAATAAGAAGACAGTTTCTAGCATCTTTGTTGTTCATCAGAATGGGGGAGATGTTGAAAAGGATGAACATTTGACAAGAAAGTTTTATAGGTATGTGTGCTTGGCAGAACGGTCTCTGAATGTAGAATCTGAGAAAGAAATAGGGATGGAAGCAAGTTTTGCTATAGAAGAATAACAGATGTGTAAATTGAGGTTTGCTGACTTGATCTTACTGGGCAACTAAGAAAGCAAAGGTTATTACAAGTTGGAAAGAGATTTTATGACTTAGAGCAAAGGATAAGCTGACGACAAACAAAAGGATGTTTTTACCAAGCAGAAAGATAGCACAGGCAAACAAGTCAGCAAAGTTGCAAGTAGAAAAAAGGTCTGAGAATTTTCCACTGCAAGAAAAACTGAAAAACAACTTTAAGCTTAAACTGTTACATACTATGTTGTGATTGGATAGTATTGACCATAATAATGGTAATGATAGTAGTTACGATAGGCTACAGGTAATAGTAAAGGTATAGATTGGTTCTTATGTTTTAAGATGCTCAGCAAATAAAAGTATATAATACATTGTAGCCAAAACGAAAGGGTCTTCAGGCTTGTCTATAGCTGGATCTGACAGCTGTAGACACAGGCTCTGTCACCCAGGACCCTGGAATGTTGTAACATCTTGGATACAATAAACTGCATTTTGAAGAGCCACCTGAAGTCCCGCATCTCTTGTCTCAAGCTCTTGCTAGACACACCTGCTGGAGGGAGGGCAGGGGGGCAAAAAAGTTTACACTGGAAGAAAACCTGCTTGATGATGTTTGAAAACATTCCACCTACATGCAGAGACCAGAGGGGGGATAAAAGAAAAAGGAAAAGAGCATGTACTGGTTTAAAACTGTAATAAATCTCTCTGTAAAAGTGCAAAGAGTTATTTGGAAACTGAAGAAAGGCAAATTTGACAGTAATGGTCATAAGTTAAGGACAGGCTGCTGAACCAGATGCCTGATGTGCAAAAGAATTTCAGAACTATTGCAATGCACAGTGTGTGTTCGGGTCAGAATACAGTCTTCATAGTGATATTACCTTATTTCTGATTAGACCTTCCTCTTGCCTGTATTGTGCCATCATATGAGGAATCCTGCAAATTGCATCCATCTTTCTCTTGCTGTCTTAGGACATATGTCCTGTCTGTCTCAGAGACAGGGTGGTCATGGAAGCAGAATCTAAATTGCCAATGGAGTCACATTTGACTCCACAAGAGGGAGAACTCCTGGTGCCTGGTGCTCTCAGGAAAAAGAGATCTCTTTTCAGATCTTCTGCTCGGAGCAGCAGAACCAGAGCCATGTGTATATTCCTGCCCCCAGCAAAAGTCCCGAGATGTACAGGCTTAACTCCAATGTAAAGTGTC